ACACAATTTTTCCTTAGACTAACTTAGGCTGAGTTTGTCTAATACTTTACATAATCTCGCATAATTTCTACATTGGGATAATCACTAGGGGGAGGAATTGGGGAAAGGCAAAGTATACTATCTGCTGTATATTCAGCATTTTCTTTCATGCCATCAGGAAAAACTAAGAGTTTACCAAACTATATAGTGTTAAAGGGAGGAGAGTTGATTATCTATACTTCAACTGTAGCAATTACCCATTTCCACTGGCCTTTACCTCTCTGCACCATCATTTTTTTATGTCTATCTCTTCCACAAAACTACCTGTTCCTTAAGGATGGGAATCCTTTCTTCTTCATTTTGGTACTCACTGCCCTAGCACTGTGTTGTCATGTTGTATGCACTTCATGATTGATAAATAACAGTAACTCACATACTTTTAAATATCCCTTCAAAGGGAAAAAAAAAGCAATTTTTAAGTTTTCAGGGGAATTTAACTATATGAGGAATGTCACCATTTAAGTGACACAGTAAATAATTAACTTTCGTAAACTCTACTACTACTGAACCTTGGGTCTTCTCTGCTCCACTAGACAGATCCGCTGACTTCCCACACAGGCATGACTCAGCCTGACTCCCACACAAACCTACTTGGCTGAGCACATCTGCTTGGGACCTACACCTGCTCAGAAGCACTGGGTAATACCCTCTTGCACGCTCAGACTAAATTTCAAGGCATCTGCTTTGAGATCAAGTGCCCCAGCCAGCTGCAGCCAACTGTGAACAAATGCTTGTTACCTGGCAATCTCCTGGTGGTAATCATAGTGCTCATCTTCCTCCAGCCACTCCACAGACCCTGTGGTCGGATTAGCCCGCCCACAGAAGATCTTCATGCTGCCAGTCAGCTCCTCAATTTTATCACTCGCCAGCTTACTTCTTATGGACAGGTCAGACGGTCAGAAACCTAGTCACATTATAATGACCAAGAATGAAAAAAAGAAAAAAAGAAAAAAAAAGTTAAAAGACAAGAAAACAAAGGGGGGAGGGTGGTCAAGAAATTGACAAAAATGTCAAAACCACTGAAAATATTTGTTAATCAGAATTCTCATATTTCCAGAAAGACTTACTTGGTTTTATATTCCCCATATAACATTAAAAACTATAATACATAAGTTCATAAAACTATCAGGAAACTTGAGCAGTCCTCAGTGATTCCAACAGGGTCAAATGAGCCTCAAAGGTACACCTGGGCATAGCCTCGGGTAAAGGTAGGTGAGAAAGGAAATAAAGCAGAGGAAAGGGCTAATAGGAAAGAACAAATAGAGATTGGGGTAGTGGTAAAGAAGTGCCACTAAAACTATCTAAGGATATTAGACAGGTTAAGTTAAAATACAAAAATAGAACAATTCAAACAAATTAGGAAAACCTTCATCTAAACAAGTCACAGCTATACACAAACATGGACAATCCCAGGAATATAATGTTGAGTCATTAAAAAAAAAAAAAAGCAAGCGGAGACCGGTTTGGCTCAATGGATAAAGCGTTGGCTTGGGAACTGAAGGGTCCCGGGTTCGATTCCGGTCAAGGGCATGTACAGTACCTTGATTGCAGGCATATCCCCAGTGGGGGGTGTGGGAGAGGCAGCCGATTGATGACTCTCTCTCATTGATGTTTCTGGCTCTCTATCTCTCTCCCTTCCTCTCTGTACAAAATCAATAAAATATATTAAAAATAAAAAAAAATTAAAAAAGCAAGTCACAGAATACATATAATAAGTTCACATTTATACAAAAAATGGAGGCCCAGTGCACGAATTCCAGTGGGGTCCCTCAGCCTGGCCTGCAGGATCGGGCCAAAACTGGCTCTAAGACATTCCTGAGGGGTCCTGGATTGTGAGATAGTGCAGGCCAGGCCAAGGGACCCCACTCGGTGCAGGAAGGGACACAGGAAGTTGGCCTGCAGGGGAGGGACTGCTAGAGGGCTCCAGGGCATGTCTGGCCCATCTGGCTCAGTCCCCAGCAGCAAGCTAAACTACTAGTTGGAGCGTCTGCCCCCTGGTGGTCAGTGCACATCATAGCAAGGGATTGAGCAGCCTTAGCATATCATTAGCATATTACACTTGATTGGTTGAACAGGCAACCTGACAACAGAACACTTAGCATATTAGGCTTTTATTATATAGGATGTGTAATTATGCAAAACAGAACAACACATTCTTTAAGGATCACACTAAAGTGCATAGCAGGAAATAGGATAGTGGAAAGGAAAAAAGATGGGATTCAAGAGGGTCACACAGCCCAGCAGGTGTGGCTGAATGGTTGAGGGTCAACCTATGTACCACGAGGTCACAGTTGGATTCCCAGTCAGGGCACATGTATAATTATGCAAAACCAAGAATGAAAGGTTGAGGGTCATGCAGGAAGCAGCCAATCAATAATTCTCTCTCATCAGTGATGTTTTTCTCTCTCTCTCACTCTCCCTCTCTGAAATCAATAAAAATAAAAAATAAAATAAAGGGCCACACAGGGGACTTAAAGAGCAATGATATTCTTTTTCTAAAACTGGGTGGTGGGAATACAGGTGCTCATGACACTGTCATTCTTCATGCCTCACTATTTATCATAATTACTTCTTATCTATATACTCAGTATTTAATTTTAAAAGCAATTTTGAAAAACCTTTCGTTAAAAAAATGTTTCAAGCTGAAACTGGTTTGGCTCAGTGGATAGAGTGTCAGCCTGTGGACTGAAGGGTCCAGATTCTATTGCAGTCAAGGGCATGTACCTTGGTTGTGGGCAAATCCCCAGTAGGGGAGGTGCAAGAGGCAGCTAATCGATGATTCTCTCTCTCATCAATGTTTCTATCCCTCTCTCTTCCTCTCTGTAAAAAATCAATAAAATATATTTAGAAAAAAAAATGTTTCAAAAAAAAAGTTACCAGACAGATAAAATGTCTTGTATGGCCTTTTCACTCAAACATATTTATTTCTGAGAGACAGGAACACCACAGCTCAAAGTGTGAAGGCACTTCTCAGCAGGAATGGGCTCTCCCAATGTCCCCTCCCTCTTACATTCAGAAACAGCAAGTGTTCCACATTCCCCTTCATTCTTGTTAAACACTGATCCATCTTCAGGAAACTTGATTATTTTTGGTGAAGGAGATCCTTTCAGACATTTTATTGGCCAGAGTTTCTGGCTTTTTCTTGAAATTATCAAAAACTAAGTAAATACTGAATTCTTATACAAGAGGATGGGAAACAGGTGATCGCTAGCTTGGTTCTGAAGACTCAGGTGATCACTAGTTTGGTTCAAAGTAGCCAATCTGTCTTTCAGCAAAACTCTATTTCTAAAACCCCAGAATACCTACTTTCTAATCCAGGTGCTCTCAAACTTCTTGACAACCCCAGTAAGTAATATATTTTACACGGAGACACAATACAAACACAAACATAACAAAGTTTCACAAAACGATACATATTAAGTCTTGCTATGGGCAAGGCCCTCATATATTTTATCCTGTTTTCGTTTTATTTTTTAATAGACCATGATCCACTGAGCTGACTTCATAACTCAGCAATGGTTTGCAACCTAGTCTGCAAACTACTGTGATAACCAGCTCTGTACATCTCAGGTGCTATTCTTTTAAATGAGAGTGTCTACAACTACCAGAGTCTGTAATGTGCTTTAGAAAACTGTGTCCAACACATGCTGTAGTGGAAAGAAATTACCACATTTCAGTGAATGTTCAGGGAAAGCTTAAAAGGTAGGTAGGGCCCTGGCGGGTTTGGCGTAGTGGTAGAGTGTTGGCCTGCGAAGAGCAGTGTTGCTGTAGGTTCAATTCCCAGACAAGGGCACATAACTCAGTTTTAGGTTCAAACCAATCCAGCAGGGCCCAGCGAAAGATGACCAATCCATGTATCGCCTCTCTCCCCCTCTTCTTCCCCCCCCCTTTCCCTTCTCCCTCCATTTCTCTCTCCCAGTCTCTCTAAAAATAAAAATAAAAAAAAATAAAAATCAATGGGAAAATATCCTCCTGTGAGAATTTACACACACACACACACACACACACACAAAAGATGGATAGGACTTAGGTGGGCGTGGGGAGAGGGCACTTCACCACCTTAGGAAGCTTAGACTGTCATGCACAGTGGACCGATCAGTCCTGCTGAAGTGAAACTGAGCAGTGTCACACAGGTTGGTGGGTCCACATTGCGGAGGGTCTAGAAACCCGTATCCTGTGGCAGTCCCTTTCTGTCTGTGATGTTGCTGAGGCTACGACTGGGATCACAGAGTCTTTTCAAAGCTGTGGGGAAGTCACTGGTTTCCTATTCACCTAAAATGAGTACTTAAGTAGGGAACCACGTCCTGTAACCTCTCCATGTACACCTTCTCCGGATAAATTTCTTCCCCTATTATTAATATTATGGCGTGTCCCTCTCCCAAAAGACCACACTCCAGACTCAGGAGATAGCCTGACCCCCTCCTCGTTCCCCAAGAGCTGTCAAAGAAATGTGGACTTTTACAAGGAGGAACTGGCAGCCACCACGCCACGCTCCGTCGCTGAAGGGAAGATTCCAGGTACGTCCTGTCAACTAGCTCATCGCAGAGATGCTTCTTCCCCTACGGGCTCAGCAAACGGCCATCACCAGAGAGGACGGCAGAGAGCCAGGGCCCGCCTGACACCCCGCTCTTCCGCCGGCCCGGGCGCTCTGAGCCGCCCCACGCGGACTCTATAGAAAGGTTCTCGCAGGTCCCGCAGAACTGCGTACCGCGCCGTCCGAGAACCTTTCCCTGCCCACGCCAGGCCCCGCCGCAGGGAAGAGGATGCGGGCTGCATCCCGGACTCCAATGCGACCCCACCTACCCAACATGCTCAGCGCCTCACCGGCCGTGCGTGCCGCCCGTCCACTTCCGCCGCCGCCACGGCCACGTTCCCGCGGCCGGCGTGAGGGGGGCGGAACTTCCTACGACAGCTGAGCGTGCTGGGGGCGGGACCCGGAAGTAGAACCTAAAGTCTTTCCGGTCGCACCCTACGCGTTGTTCCCATACTGCTTCGCGACAGCCGCTATGGAGGCTCGTCGTCGCACGGCTGTACTCCGCGTGAAGCGGAAACGCGGCGAGGAGCCTGCCGAGGCTCTGGTCCTCGCTTGTAAACGCCTCCGGAGCGATGCGGTGGAGTCGGAGGCCCAAGACACGCCCCCCGAGGTTCTGGAGAAAGGACCAGAGAAGAACATCTTCCAGTTGGTGGCTACCGTGTGCTCCCAGGTATCGGGCGGGGATGGAGCGTGAGTGGAGGGGCCCAGAGGGTACAGCCGGGATGGAATTGTATCCCTGAGCCCTACATGAACCCCTGCTTACGCCTGTTTCCCATCCCTATTGCCCTCCAGGAGGAGCCGGTCCATCCATTCCTGCGGGTCGCTCTGCCCCCACCCTGGGGCACCCATCAGCGTATCCGCCACGACATCCGCGCGTCTACTCGGAAGATCCAGCAGGAGGGTCGCTACAGGGTAGTCTGTAGCCGCCGATCCGTGGACATTCCTTTGGATGACCTGGAGCCCGAGGACGTGCTGGGAAACCCAGAAGCCGACGGTGACGCACGCTTCCAGCTGTTGGATCTGGTCCACGAAGAAGGAGACCCCGAAGCCTCTGCTGCCGCCGCCGACTCCTACAAAGTGAGTACACGCTCCGCGGAGGAGAGCTGGGCTTCTCGCGACAAGTGGTGCCAGGAATCTTGGCGCAGAGTCTGCACATAGTTGAGATGTACATGGCTTCACCTTTTATTAATAGACGATCCCTCCGGCTTGATAGCCTCGATTTTACAAATTAGGGTCTCTCCTCAACAAGTATTTACTGAGCGCCCACTATGTGACAAGCATTGTTCTGAGGTTCTGTGGGTATAGCAGTGAACCTAACATTCAGATGGAGAAAAACAAGTAAATTCACTGACAGATGGTGATGTAGGCTGTAAGAGGGAAGCGCCGAAGCCGGTTTGGCTCAGCGGTAGAGCGTCGGTCTGCGGACTGAAAGGTCCCAGGTTTGATAACGGTCAAGGGCATGTACATTGGTTGCGGGCACATCCTCGGTAGGGGGTGTGCAAGAGGCAGCTGGTCGATGTTTCTCCCTCATCGACGTTTCTAGCTCTCTATCTCTCTCCCTTCCTCTCTGTAAAAAAATCAATAAAATATATATTTTTTTAAAAAAGAGAGGGAAGGGGGTGAGGGAGAGCAGGAAAAGAGTGGTTCCATTTCAGAGGTCACACTGTGGGGGGGGGGGGGACATTTGAGTGAAGACAGTGAAGACTTAAAGGTGAATGAGGATTCTTGGGGAGGGGCATTCCAGGCTGAGGATTTAAAAGCACAAAGGCTTTCGTACCAAGTTTGTCTGATGTTTTCAAAGTCAGTGTGCCTGGAGCCCAGTGAACTTGGGGAGAATAGTAATAAGGAATCTGGGGGAAGGATCTACTGGACCCTGTAAGGTACTTCCAAGACCCATCCCATTGCCTTTTCATCCTGAATAGGGTACTAATGGAGGACTGACTTGGACAAGGAAAAGATAGCGCAGATGGGCAAACTCATCAGAAGGAGGTTAAAGGCTCGTCTTGGGTACCATATCAAGTCTGAAGCAAAGTCAGGTCTAAATGCACACTTAATCTAGTGTTCTTTCTACTACGTTACATTTAATATGTTTAGTATCTTAAAAAAAAAAAAACAAAAACAAAGTCTGCATGCAGTAATATCATAGAAATAGAAAACTCTCAACCTAAGGCATTCTCCCTTTTAATAAACATTTAAAAAAATTTTCACTCCTTTTAATAGTTCTTTAAGTGTAAAAAATGAAATTTTAATTCAAAACACATCAGGCAAAACATATTTAATCATGGTGCTAGTATACCTGGATAGCAACTTGAGCGTGATATTGATAGCCACATCTGTTACCAAAACTAATTCTAGACTGATTCATGAGTTAACAAATAATGTTTAAAAGTATACTAATGTTCGGTGGGATCGATAAGAAAAACTGGTAAACTGAAGGTTGTGAACACAAATTTTCCCAATCCAACGCAATACAAACTTATAAACATAGCAAATATGTTTGCAGTTATTTTTAAAACATTAATTTATCTGGGCCAGTGTGGTCCAGTGGGCATGTCAGCCTAAGAACTAGGGAGGTCACAGTTCAATTCCTGGTCAGAGCACATGCCTGGGTTGTGGGCTCAGTCCCCAGTGTGGGGTGTGCAGGAAGCAACTGATCAATGATTCTCTCTCATCACTGATGTTTCTATCTCCCTTCTCCCTCTCCCTTCTTCTCTGAAATCAATATAAATATATTTTACCAAAAAAAATTTTTTAATATGAATTTAAGATGAAAGTAAAATTGAGGTTTTTATGCCCACTAAAACTAGCAGAAGAAAGGTTGTCTACAGCACTGCTGGCAATGCTGTGATTAAAATAGTATGTGGCTATAGTACTTAAAATTGATGCCAGTCTTTGGAAAACAGTGTGGCTAACAATAGCTTAGGGCCTATTTTAAAACTATTTAAATTTATTTTTATTGTTTGGACTCTAAAGCCACCCAAAATTCTAGAAATTTAAGTTTTAAGCAAATAACATACTACTTTTTAAAAAATATATATTTTATTGACTTTTTTACAGAGAGGAAGGGGGATAGAGAATTAGAAACATCGATGAGAAAGAAACATCAATCAGCTGCCTCCTGCCCACTCCCTACTGGGTATGTGCCCGCAACCAAGGTACATGCCCTTGATCGGAATCGAACCTGGGACTCAAGTCTGCAGGCCGACACTCTATCCATTGAGCCAAACTGGTTAGGGCATAACGTACTACTTAATAGGATATCTGAAAGGTGAAACAGTTTGGTTCATTTTATCTAGTAATTTCATCCCCAGGATTTATCCTGGAGAAATAATTCAGCAGAAGCAAATAGCTATGATATTAACAAAAGCTGACTCTAAGTACTTGTTATATATTCTTTTTCTTTTTTCTTTTTCTTGTTATATATTATTTAACTCATTTATTTATTTTTAAATATATTTTATTGATTTTTTTAGAGAGGAAGGGAGAGGGATAGAGAGCCAGAAACATCGATGAGAGAGAGACATCCATCAGCTGCCTCCTGAACACCCCCCACTGGGGATGTGCCTGCAGCCTACGTACATGCCCTTGACCGGAATCGAACCTGGGACCTTTCAGTCCTCAGGCCAACGCTCTATCCACTGAGCCAAACCGGTTTCGGCTATTTAACTCATTTAATCCTCACAAAAACCCCGGGTACTTTAATCTCCATTTTCAAATGTAGGAAAATTCACATTCATTGCAGTGTTGTGCATAGAGACTAAAATTATGTCTGAGAAATTGACTATACAAACTGCCTATTGAACTAGAGTATATCTTACCTTGGCCAGTTCCAATGTGGGTTGTTCTATCTTGGATTATAGGGGAATCCATTCCTGGTTGTGATTAAAAGCGGGATGTCAGTGTGGGCAAGTCAAGTGGTGGGTGATGGCTGACAGTAGTCATCATAGCCCAGGAATCGTCCTTGGGTTCCCTGTTGAAGGCCACACAAAACGCAGACCCACGTAGGAGTCAGCTGTGGAGGTGCTCCTGTGGGCCTGCAGATCCCCAGAGGGAGAACATCATACCAAAGGAGCTCGGGAAGACCGAGGGGAAGACTCAGAGCTCTCTGGCCCTCGCCTCTCCTCAGGCCAGGCTTCACATGCAGGTCTCCACGCGGGCTCCTGCATCCGCCGAGCACAGAAGAGGAATCTGTCTTGTTTCTATCTCAAAGGAACTACACATCACTTTTTTGAGAAATACCTAGTTTTTTAATCTCATAGCTAATTAAATGGGCCGTGGGGATAAGACTGCTGAATCTTAACAGAGAACTGTAGGGAGGCTTCCTTCATCCAACTCTTAGGTTCCTTTTCTTTGAACATCCATGTTTAATCTCATGCATTTTATCTGCTGTTTTCTTCACAGGTGGCTGACCCAGATGTGATACTTTGCAATTCTGTAGAGATGATCCGTGAGCGGTTGACTATATCCGAGGATGGACCAAGTGCTGGGCAGCAGAAGGAACAGAAGGATGACTATGTGTATGACATTTACTACTTGGAAACGGCCACTCCAGGATGGATTGAGAATATCATCTCTGTGAAGCCCTACAGCAAGGAGTGGGAGCTGGTAAGGGGACCTATGGGGTGGAGGGATATGAGGCAACCTACGTGATTCTCTAGTCAGGGTACTTTGCCTCCCTGGAATCTAATCCTCGTTAACATGGTTCTTAGTTCTTGTTCTTTCTTAAAAGGAAAAATTTATTCTAAATGCCTTCTAGGAACCTGGCTTTAATGCAGGGAATTTTGGGAGAGCCTATGTTTATAATCTTTGCTCTTAATGATTCTTTTATAAGGTTTGCAACATCTTTGTTGTTTTTAATGTTTTTATTGGTTTTTAGAGGGAGAGGGAGAGCTAGAAATATGGACCAGTTATCTTCTGCATGCCCCCAAATTAGCATGTGCCTTGACTGGGAATCTAACCAGTGACCTCTTGTTTCATGGGCCAGTGTTCAACTACTGAGCCACATCAGCTGGGCAACATCTTTATTTTTTATATCTTACCCATTCTCAGGGGGAAATGTATGAGAGCTTATAATAAAATACAGACAAAATAAAACCAGGAATTTTAAAACGAGAACAAAACCTTTTTAATTGTATCTTATTTTGCAGAAAATCATGGATTAAGAAAGCTTTCATTTAAAAAAACAAAAAAACTACTAATTTCCTGACAATCATTATTCTTAAAACAAATTCTAAAATGATTAATGAGTGCCTGGCCAATGTGGCTCAGTTGGTTGAGCATCATCCCGTGCACCAAAAGGTCACCAGTTCGATTCCTGGTCAGGTGGTCAGGGCACATAGCAAGGTTATGAGTCATCCCCGGTTGGGATGCATATGGGAGGCAACCAATCAATGCGTCTGTCTCTCTCTCTCTCTCTCTCTCTCTCTCTCTCTCTCTCTCTCTCTCTCTCTCTCTCTCCCCCTCTCTCCCCCTCTCTCCCCCTCTCCCCTTTGCTCTCTAAAATCAATAAAAACATTTTTTAAAAATAAAATGTAAAAATAAAGAAGTTAAGCAGTACTTGTCACACTCTTATGAGAAAAGCACGCTACTCCACACCTACTTTACCACCGTAATCTGAATCAGGCCCCCACCTTGCACCATGCATAGGCCCTCCTTTTGCCATCCTGCACCCCTCAAACTTGGGTTTTGGTTCTGAGATTTGGCATCATCCATGATCCATATAATCCCTCTGACAGTTTAAAGGTCATTACCATCACCTCAGAGCTGTTTCTCCTCCCCATCTGGGGTGTTCCTTTTTAGTGGAGTTTAATCTATCCCACCAGCCATGTGACCCTTGGAGTTGGACTTGTAAGTGGAATAGGGTCTTTATCTCCCACTTAGCCTAAGTGTACCCTCTCCAAGTTAGTCTGATGATAGTTTCGCCCAGAGCATAACCTTAGATGTTTTGACTTATATTCATGTGTGTTGAGATATGCAGGTGAATGATGAACAACAACTAGAGGACATTTATGAGGATGAAGATGATGAGAATAGTGAGAATAATTGGCGCAATGAGTACCCAGAGGAGGAGAGCAATGACGGTGATGACTCCAGAGGTAAGTGGGTGGCAACCTTGGATGTTGAGGGACTGCTGGGATCTAAGACTGAGACATGCGTACAGAAGACAGATCCGTCCTGGCTAGCTTTCCTTCTCCATTGAGCTTCTGCAGCTCAATCATAAGCTGTTGAGCAATAGGAGACCCACAGACCAGTGTTTCCAGGGGGTGGTTACTAGAGTGTAATATCAGACAGATGTGGGTTCAAATCCTTATTTCTGTCATTGCTTAGCTGTGGATCTTGGGCAAGTAACTTCATCTTATTGAGCCTCATTTTCCCTCCAGAAAATGAGAATATTGCACCAACTGGTTGAGATTAAGTGAAACACCTAGCTCAGTGTCTCTTTCCCTGCTTCAGTCTAACAAAGTATTGGAGAAGTTTTAAGTGCCAACAAAAAGAATTTCTTTGTGTCTGTTAATGGAGGAACAATTAGATCAAACTATAGAATATTCTGTTGGGAAAGTGCCCGTAATATATTCAAAGGGGCAAGGTTCAACATTATATTTACAATATGACTACAACTATTATATATATAAAAAAAATCTATACTTAGGGGAGAAATGACAAAATATTCCAGTGTTAAAAGACTTGGTTTAAATGGTAGGTATGAGATCTTTTCAAATTGCTCCCCTGAATTCTCTTTATTGAACAAGTATTTTTAAGTAGTGAACCAAGGTAAAAACAACCAACCAAACAAAACCAGCCCAGTTGGTTTAGCTCAGCAGTTGAGCATTGACTCAGGAACCAAGAGGTCATTGGTTTGACTCCCAGTCAGAGTACATGCCTGGGTTTCGGGCTCAATCCCCAGTGGTGGCTGTTCAGGAGGCAGCCAATCAATGACTTCCTCTCTCATCGATGTTACTATCTCTCTATCCTTTTCTCTTCCCCCATCTCTAAAAATTTATTTTAAAAAACCCGGACCTTTTTGAGATGGGAAGGAGCCCACAGTCGCCCCAAAAAATCATGCAGGTGGAGTCCATTCCTGTTATCTCATTCCAGGCTCTGATGAATACCACAGCCTCAGTGAAGAGGAAAGAGACGATAGCAGACCACAGGAGGGAAGCAAATACCCTTCGGATGTGCAGAAGGAGTTTGGCTATGACAGCCCTCGTGACCTGGACTCGGACTGAGAATCCTGTGACAGCCATGAGGTTCTAGCATAGGCCCTTGGGGGCTCTGACTGCAGCATCAGACACCCTGGTAATGGGTTTCTTGGCATAACACACGGAAGGAAAAAGCATGTCCGACAGCACCATCATACCAGTGAAAACGTGCTGAAGGAGTGTCTCTTTTCCACTACTAGTAGTGCCCTTTGCCTCATTCAAGTAGCTACAGTCTAGGGGGGAAAAAACAAAAATCAAAACAAAAAAAAGATAAAATGAAGCTTTCTGGCCTAGATATTTTCCTGCTCTTCTCCTACACTAAAGCCAGTAAGTGGAAGAGAGGCTGTTTTATGAGAACTTAGGTTCAATTTTCCCATACCACCAGGCCACCCACTCCAGTAAAAGCCTGATTCTTTTTGACATGAGAATCTAGAAGGGCTACAGTGGGTCTCTTGTAGCAGTACACACTGAGTAGTAATAGCCAGTAGGAGAGGAAGAATCTGCCTGAGCTCTGAGGGGTTTGGTTAACAGATGTCTCTGCATCCCTGCTTCCAATGGTAATGATCGTAAAGATTGCTCTTTCATTAGCGGTGGTACCAAGGAACAGGGTATGTGTGAATGCGATACTCTGTATTTAGCAAAAACGCTTTAAATATGGGAACAAGTAATTCCTTTCAATCTGAATATATGTTCTCCATTGTGGTCCCTCTCCCCTTCCTGCCCCCCACCAAAAATCGGGGAGTAGTGAGATGAAAGTTTCAGAACTGACCTGAGACACAAAGGACTTAAAGCAAATTAGGAAAACACATGAAATGTTTAACTGTTTACAGCACTCACCAAAAACTATCAATAAGACACAATTTCTTCCCCAGGATTTACATCTCTGCCCCTACCCCTTCCAAAGCACTGATGCCTTAACTCAGACTGAGTTGGCATTTAGTCATCTAATGTAACATTCACTGTGCAGTAGTAGCCACTAGCCACATGTGGCTGAGCACTTTTAATGTGATTAGTGTGACTGAGGAATTTTCAGTTTTATTTCATTTGACTAGCTACATGTGGCTAGTAGCTGCTGTGCTGGACGCGCCGGTATAGGGCAATCAGTACCCAGAACCTTCTTCTTAAGACGTGCTCTCTTGCCCCATGGCAGACTCACTATCACATGGGAAGATGAAGTACACAGGGATGTGTCTTCCCACATCTTTTAAGATTTCATAAGCACCTACTTTCCCATCCTGCCTAAAGCCATTATTTTGCAAGTCTTTACCTACATTGGTTTTTATTTACACAGAGTTGTTAAACCTGACAAAATGATTAAATTGTATGTGTGTGTGTACTCGAGCTCTACTCTTGTGGCTATAAAACCAACAGACTATTGGTTTCCCACCTATCTACAAAGATACAATTCATTGTCACAAGTAAGAGTCAGCAGCTTCAATGTACATCAAAATTAGTAATCTTACAGTAGTCTATAGGCGTAAACGAAGGATTAAAGAACACTCTGTACCAGTATAATGTGTTCATTGCTATTTATGTGCTCATTAAAGTTTGCCAACATTAAAGGACTTAACAACTTCACAAACTGTACCCAGTGCGAAAGGGATTAGCATACCAGGAGAAATGAGGCTGATAAAGAAAAACCTCGTGGAAATTAATTCCACCACAAAGCTTGAGTGGAGGAAGTCTGGCTTCTCTCCCACAGGAAGGTTTCTAGGAAGTCTGTACGCAGCACAGAGGGGAAGAATGCGGTCACCATCCACTGGTGGTGGAGGAGGACGACATGGCTCACTAAGTCAGTGTTAGGGCTCCCGGAGTATTGAGGCCCTTGTTTTCCCAGGAGCCGCTGGGAAACAGCAAGTTCCTGGAATGAGCTGGTCATTTGCGTGAATGGAGGAAGCCAAAGCCTGCCTCGGGTCCTCAAGGCAAGCGCACTGCCCTTAAAGGGTTAGCTCTGAAGGATCCCTGGGGCAGGTGCCAGCGTGGCTCAGACAAGAGTCACATGTACATAGTCTAGGCAAGTCACCCTTTGTATGGACTCCCTGCTGTAGACAGGAATTTGCGGTGCAAATCCCCATCCCAAGATAGTAGGAATGGCCCCCTATGTTCTCACAGACGCTTGCCCTGAACCAAAAGCAATTGTGAGCATGCTCCCTTAAATTGTTTTTATTGAGCAGGTATGACCAAGGTTACACCCTTGTCTGAGATGAGCCAGTTTAGGGAGATTGTCTCATACTTCTTTACCATTGGTCAGTTCCAAAATGTAAGGACAAGAAGCCTACAGCGTGTGCCAAGCCAGCAGGTTCTGGGCCCAGGATGATTGGGTCTGAGGTTATCCCAGGAGAGCTGTACAGTCCTGTGCGGCCAAGCTGCCCACGAAGGAGTGTCCACCGGGCCAGCCGTGCTCTGGCTGGCCTGGGTGATAAAGAGCAGCCTGAGCACCAGAATTGGTTATTTCCAATCATGCAGTCTGCTGAGGAGCCAGACATTTTAAAGCAGCTTTTTCCCCAGAGTCTTCACTGTCTCCATGGGAAAAAAGTTCCCACGAGTACCAAGGTCTTCCTGAGACGGAAGCCCCACCAGACCTCGCCCCAGGAGGCAGGCAGGAAAGGAGTGCATTGTCCCCATGATCCACACCAAGGCGGCTCAGTGTAAACAAAGCCTGGTGTTGGGGACAAGAGGGTGCGGCCTGGTGTGAGGTTTTCAGAAGAGAAATGACCACGTCTAGCACCTAGGAGGGCTTGCGACACCGACCCTTAGCGAGTGGAACAAGCTATTTGGTGGCGTGAGTCCATGAGACATTGACAGCTGAAAGAATTCAGGTGACCTACCTGAACGAGAAGTTTCTATCTTAAAGTTCGTACCAGAAACCCAGAGGTTTACTTTATCATCTAGAACACAGACAAGCTCTTAAGGAAAATAAAGGATTATCCTTCAAAACAACAATAGTGCCAGATTTCTGGCTCGTGGATTTGTTCATGTGTCCTTGCTGAACCTGAGCCAGGTGCTTGTGATGTGACCTGTGTATATACTAAAGTGTAATCGGCACATGAGTAAAAAAAAATCAAAAGATCTTTGCAGGTAACACTCAATATGAAGATTGTGCTAAAACCAAGCCAAAAAAAATCTGCAGTCAGAGTCTGACCCACCATCACGTAGAGACACCTCTGAGGACAGAGGGACTCAGCTTTGGGTATTTTGCATTTATAAACGATCTATTGCATCCTGTAGATGAATACCAGAATTCATCTAGAATTGGTGTTCTGGATTAAATAATATAAATAAATAGTGGAGTACAACCATTTCCCCCAGGGAAGGATTTTGAACCAGAGAGAGAAATGGTAGCATTTCCAGCCTCTAAAGTCAGGTGCCTGGACCTGGTCAGAGGAAAACTTGTCATTAAAGCAGCTCCTTTGTAGAGACTCCTGGTCCAAACCTCAAGTACCAAGTTTAGAAACCACCAGCCACGGCTAACCTAGCTAGCACTCCCTCTTCCCCCTGTGCAACTCACCAAGTGTCTGAGGGCTACACCACCCAGCAGGAACAAACTCAACCACCATTCCCCAGCCCTCCCCCGTGCCCACAGTTAGACTGGCCCCACACTCCATCGTCTTCCATAGCTTACCAACGAGAGTGATCACCTGAGAAGGCCATCAGCCCTCAACCCCCTTACATAATGTGTGCCAACAGGCTCCTTTAGTACAAGAGAGCTGGGTCCACAGTCTTGTCATCTGGCCTTTGGTGACTGCGGCCACACGTAAAGCCTTCCAGGCCTCAGGGGACTTCACCTCTGGCCTCTAGTCAGTTTTCCTCTCGACCTTTGTCTCTTCAGCTACATCTAGCTCAGTCAGGACGCAAAAGCAAATCTTCTGGGTGACTTCGGTGATAGCAGCTAAATGGAAAAAGAAGAGAACTTAGTAAATGGACATTCAGCTACAGCCCCGATCTGAACACCACAAGGCTGTTGAGAGCACATCTGTGGCTCCCTGTTCATCTCCCCCTTGGGTACCCTGTGCCAAGCTTTGCCCCTCACCCCAACCAGCCTCAGCATCCCCAGTCCTGAGCCCAACCAGAGTCTTGACACTTAGATTGCACTTATAAGAGGTAGTGTTTTAACCCCAAAATATGTCTCTAAAGATAGAATGATCATATCAAGATCAAAAGGGAAGAAGTCATGGGGCAGTCAGATCTCATGGCCTCTGGCACATCACTAGTTTGGAGGCAGCCAGCTACCACGCTCATCTCTCCCATGTACCTGTGAACACATACATACATACACACACACACACACACACGCAATGGCAATGGGCAAAGAGCAGCTCACCCAGGATATTCCGGACAAAGCGTGGCCTCCGGGATTCTGGCAGGTAAACGCCCAGGAAGTAGACGGGGATTCCGGAGAGGGAGATCCCAATGCCAATGAAGGAATTGATGGTGTCACCAAAGAGGGGCACAATCACCAGAAACAAGGAGCATATGCAGAACACGATGGGGAAAAACAGGCTCAGCTGAAATGAAGTGGGGGAGTTATCAGATAATGCGGGATGGGGGGTCTGGAAAAGAAGGCACCTTTGGGAGAGGGCCCACCCTCCTAGGCTGCCCAGAGCCACTGACCTTGAGAGGCCGGGGCCGATCGGGCTCCTTCCAACGAAGGTAGAGCTGTCCAGCAACAGAGAGGCCCACAAAAAACCAGTAGCTGAAGCTGAAGTAGTTGATGAGCAGGAAAACATCCTCCACAGTGAGGTAGATGAGTGACATTGTGCACTGCATGGGGAAGGAGGGAGGGAGCAGGAGAGGGCAAGGTCACCACCAGGGACCCCACCAGATCTGCTGACTGCTGGTTGAGCTCCCCCAGATTACCTCTGGCTCTCTCCAGTGACCCCCTGCCACCAGAAAGATCCATTCCCCACGTTAATCTTCATGGCGGCATCTCTCCCTCTTCCGCCAGAGGCCTGTCCTCCACTCGGCCTCCTTTGCCCTTCTGATGGCAGACAGTGCGGCCCTCCTCACCTCAACCCACCAACCTCAACATGAACCACAAGGTGCCCTCCAGGTCTTTACACATGGGTCCTGACTACTTGGCATACGAATGGGCAAATGCCTTGTCCTGGCACCTTAGAAATGCAGATGAGAGCCCTGGCCAGTGTGGCTCGGTTGGTTGGGTGTCATCCTGGGCACCAAAAGGTTGCCGGCTCCATTCCTGGTCAGGGCTCACAGGCCCGGGTTGCCTCTCCATCCCTGATCCCCGACTGGGGGCATGCAGGAGGCAGCCAATCAATGTTTCATTTGCTGAATCATGTTTTTCTCCCTTCCTTTCTCTCTAAAAATCAATAAAAGATCTTAAAAAAAATAATAAAATAAAAAAAAGCCGAAACCGGTTTGGCTCAGTTGATAGAGCATCAGTCTGCGGACTGAAGGGTCCCGGGTTCGATTCTGGTCAGGGGCATGTACCTTGGTTGTAGGCACATCCCCAGTAGGGGGTGTGTAGGAGGCAGCTAGCTAATCAATGTTTCTCTCTCATTGACGTCTCTAGCTCTCTATCCCTCTCCCTTCGTCTCTGTGGAAAATCAATAAAAATATATTTAAAAAAATAAATAAAATAAAATTCCAGGAGGAAAATACCCTCTTTTTCCCCCCAGATATTCAACATAAAACTAAATAATGAAGCTTATTGCTGATGGGGAGGATTAGTTGAAATAATGATACATTGAAGGGGCATATCATACTTGGCATATATAAAGTACCCCCCAAAACAGCTATTTTTTATTATTATTATTATTATTATTATTGTTATTAACCCCCGAAGAGCCGATCCCCAACCCAAAGAGCTGAACCCAGTCCCAAAAGACACAGCTTAGCCCCAAAGCTTGAAGCCCAGACCGGATCAGCGAAAGCCAGTCCTGAAGGGCAGGCCCTCTCCCCGAAGAGCCCCGCCTGCCCCCTACAATCCCCACTCTCCCCGCAGGCCCAGGGAAGCCAGCCTCGGCGTGCCAGAGTGACGTCCACAGGCACCGCTCCCTTCAGAGTCTGCAGCCCTTTCAACTTCCTTCTATTTTTACATGATAAAAACTGGAAAACTGGAAAAATTGATTATTCCATAAGTTATATTGGCATAGCTGGCTAACTATTTGAGAGCAAAAAATTAAGTGAATCCCCACCTTACCCCATACATCAAAATATAAATTCCAGAGGAATCCAAAATTTAAACAATTAAACCATTTAAGACCTAATAACAAGAAAAATTAACTGTTTTTCAAATCTTGGAATAAGGCCTTTTTTTCCTCAGGGTCCCTGTTAGCTTTTATTCATTAATATCTTAGTCCAAATTAGAAAGTGGTGGTCTTTCTTCAGAACTTTCCACCTGTCAGAATACTTCTATCATTTACTAATTTTGTTGGAATATAACACTTCACTGCCATCTACTTCATGTGAATGTATGATGTCTATGACATGAACAGAGGCCCCTAGGGTAGTTGGTATTTAACTGATTTGGCTTTTCTAAATATGATTTTTTTTTTAATGTTTTTTCTTTAGCCAAAGCCGGTTTGGCTCAATGGATAGAGTGTCGGCTTGGGGACTGAAAGGTCTCGGGTTTGATTCCAGTCAAGGGCATGAACCTTGGTTGCGGGCATATCCCCAGTAGGGGGTGTGCAAGAGGCTGCTGATCGATGACTCTCTCTCATCGATGTTTCTATCTATCTCTCTCCCTTCTTCTCTGTATAAAATCAATAAAATATATTTTTTTTAAAATAAAAATAAATGTTTTTTTCTTTAGAGAGAGTGAGAAAGGAGGAGAGAGAGAAACATTGACACTAGAGAGAAACATCAATTGGCTGCCTCCTGCATGTGCCCCAACTGGGGATCAAACCCACAACCCAGGCATGTGCCTTGACAGGGAATCAAAATGGCAACCTTTCGGTACATGGGACAACACCCAACCAACTTAGCCACAATGGCCAAGCCTCTAAATATGATTTAATATTTCTTGTTAAAAGTAGGAGCTGGAAGAAGGAGAGGAAAAAGAAGCCACTGACATAAAATAACAGAGAAATCTTACATCTTCACTTTTATATTCTTTTATAGCATTTGCCTTCTCTAATAGAACTATGTTTTACATTTACATTTTAAAGTAATTTTAAGAAGAAGAAACACTGAGAGGATCGAGAACTATCTCAAGAAAGTTAGTATGCCGCCCACCCAACAGTTTTGGATCAAATCAGCAGGAGTGGTACAGAGATATACCCAGTTCCCACACTCCCCCAGGAGAGCTTACATTGAACAGTAACGCAGGGATGGGTGTAAAACGCTCGATGTGGATCATGGACAGAAGGTCTGGGAGGTGGCCCTCTCGGGAGCCCACGAAGAACAACCTGGAGGCACAAGAAATGTGTCAGTGAGACCCTTTGTACTCAGCCACATGGCCACACTCCTCACTCGACAAACGAGGCTCAGAGCTCCAGAACAAAGCAGGGAGCAGTCTCTCCGGAGCACCCCATGTTCTCTATGCACACCCAGTCCGACCTACCCCCTTTACCCACAGATGTCTCCACCTCCTTCAACCAGGGCACCGCACCATTATCCATAAATGCCCTACTCCACTGTCACCCAGGACCACCATCGCCCACAGACACCCAATGAATGCTTCACCCTGCCATCACCCACTGGCACTCTAATCCATCCCACCAGGGGTACCCTCACTCTGCCATCCCATAAATGTCATACTTAGCACAATGACTTTTATTTTTAATGTTTTTATTTATTTTTTAGAGCCAGAGAAAAGGAGAGAGAGAGAGAGAGAGAGAGAGAGAGAGAGAGAAATCCATTGGCTGCCTCCTGCATGTCTCCTACTTGGGATCAAGCCCGATCAGGAATCGAACCTTTTGGTGCATGGGACCACGCTCAGCCGACTGAGCCACACCTGCGTTCTCATATATCTTCTCTGAGCTCCTGACGTGTGGTAGGCCAGAACAAACCTGGACTCAAAGCGACAACCCAGGCTTCCTCTCTGTACATAAAGAGCCCGACTGACTGGGAAACGGAGCAGCAGAGAAATGAGCAGCACCCAGGACAACAGCGTCATCATGCGGTACACAGCCCGCATGAGGCTTAGGGGTGGACTGGGGAACAAAAAGCTTCCAAGAGATGACCACATAGATGCTTCTAACTCTCTATCCCTCTCCCTTCCTCTCTGTAAAAATCAATAAAATATGTTATAAAAAAGAAAAGGCTATCAGCATCACTTGCTTCGTGCTTCCAGTATGATAAGGACCGTGATGAAAGCAGGCTAAGGAGGGGTCCCTGGCACCCTTAATAAGAACATGTTTTAGGCACTAGAAGCCAAAGTGTAATGGGTAGAAAAATGAATGACCAGTGAAATACACACTATTCCCTCAAGAAATGTCCCAGGAAGGCAGAGGGAAGCAGGGAAGAGCTCGTTGGTGGCATCTGTGAGTGGAGAGGAAAGAAGCCTGTGCAGAGAGGGCTCCAACGGGGGAACAGCACCAAAGAGAAGGGCCAGCTGATGCACCACAGTGCCGAGGAAGGAACGTGTGCAACCTTGACACCAGGGAGCAGAGTGAGCCCGGCACGGCTCCTCTCTCCCAAACAACAGGAAGGCCAGTCTCTGCACAGAGAGGAGAGAAGGAGCCTCCCCATGGGCCTCCGTGTTTTCTGTGAAGTGAGGGGAAGAGTCACCTTGTCCCAGCACCAGGCCCACAGCCAGTGCTCGCTAATCATTCACTGAAGGAATGAATCCTGGGGCTGCACCGTAACCCACAAGGGGCCTAGAAGCTGGTTCCTGACAGCTATTACCTTCTTCTCTCCCACCTCCTATCAATCTGTCCTTGGCTAGAGCATCATCCCCATTTGCCAAGGTCATGGGTTTGATCCCAGGTCAGGGCACATACAAGAATCAACCAATGAATGCATAAATAAATGTACAATAAATGGATATTCCTTTACTTCTCTCTCAACTTTATAAATAAAAGCATGAGCACCGAAACCAGTTTGGCTCAGTGGATAAAGCATTGGCTTGCGGACTGGTGTGTAGGAGGCAGCTGATCAATGATTCTCTCTCATCGATGTTTCTAACTCTCTATCCCTCTCTCTTCCTCTCTGTAAAAAAATCAATAAAATATATTTAAAAAAAAAAAAAAAGCATGAGCTACCAGCACACAAACATTTGCACAAAGGCATGCACACTGATGTGCGCACACAAACACACACACACACACACACACCCTGTCTTTCTAAGAAAGGCAGGAAGGAAAGGAAGAGCTCTCACGGGCTCACCTAAAGCCTCAGAGGACAGCGGACGGAGTGTGTGACCAGAGAGGCAGGGACACAGTACCTTGATGAAGCAAGGATGGACGCATTGAGGCCCCCGAAGCAGGACAGGGCGACAGCGATGGGGATGGTCCAGCTGAACATCCCAAATGTCCGGTCAGCAAACGTCTGGGGGCGGAACACAGAGGCGCACTCAGCGTAGGACGGGGTTTCCTAAGCTCCCTGCCTCTAGGTGGTCGGGACAAACACGGTCACCGCTGAGCAGCCCACCCTCCGGCCAAGACCCCCTCACCTCCTCCCCTGCAGAGCTGGGGTGGCTGCGAAAAGATGGAACTGTTCGGTGTCATAGGGTGACGGGCAATGGGGGCTCCCCAGAGACTCACCACGGCCACGGCGTCACTGTCCAGGACGTCTGAAATGCTCAGCACTGTGTAATAGGCCACGTTGGTCAGAATGTAGATGAGCGTCACAATTGGCATAGAAATCCCGATGGCCAGGGGCAAATTTCTGTCAGCACAAGTGAGACGGGACTACCTAGAACCAACCTCTCCTTGGGGTCAGAAATCCCAGGGATTTTTTTTCTTTCTTTCTTTCTTTCTGACATTTAACAGTTCCCTGGCCTCTGGGTCTTTGAGATACCTCTTCCCCGTTATGTCCTAGGATGGGTATGTATCCCATGAGTCCCTGGGCTCTCTAGAGAGAAGGGGAAGAGAAACCTTTCTCTCATGGGCTCATGATCAATATCTGATGCTTGCCACACTGGGACCCATGAGTCCCACCGGAGGAGGACCAATGTCCTCTAGGGATCGGTGGTCAGGCTGAGTACCTGGCTGCCCAGAATAAACTTCTGGCTCCCCAGGCCACAAAGTCAGTGCCAGGGTGCAAGGCCCCAACACCTCAGCCCCAGCGAGGTCAAGGGCCTCTCCTTTAGGAAGAACCTGATCTTCTCCAGGATGACCACGAGGGTGAGGAGCCACAGCTTCCCTACCTTCACTCGTCCCCATCCTAACCCCTCACCCTCTGAGCTGGAGGAGGAGGGGGCGAGATGAGAGGCAGAGGGACAGGGGAGGGGAGAGGGCGGCCTTCCCTCCGCCGGCCGCTGCAGCCGCCGGGAGTGAGAGCTGGGGAGTGGGAGAGTGAGCCCGCCTTTACCTTTCTGGGTTTTTGATTTCTTCTGTTACAAAATTAAGGGTGTCCCAACCTGAGTAAGAGAAGAGGGCAGAGTAGTGGGCGAGAGAGAGGTTTCCCATGTCCCAGGAGGAACCCTCAAAGGCGTCCTGAAAGTGCTCAGAGTGTCCTGCGGGAGCAAAGCGGGGAGGGGGAGGGCGGTTCAGGGACGAGGAAGGGAAAGAAGGGGAAGAGGGAGGAGAGATGGAAGGTGTAAGAAGGGAGGAATGGGGAGAAGGAAGGAAGAGAAGATGGGAAAAAAGAGAAAGAAAGAGGGTCAAGAAAAGGAGGGAAAAGCAAGGGGAAAGGAAAAAAAAACACACACATAATTTAACACCAAAAAAGAAAAACAACTACCAGCTCCCTACAATTAACCCCACCCCTCTCTCGGAAAGTTCCTATTCCTTTACTAAAACCAGACAGACAGCCTCCGCTAAGGAAGGGGCCTCAGATGTGACCCCTGTTCCAAAGCCATGGTGAATTTCCACTTCCTGCAGTGCCTGCAGAGCAGGCCACACATCTTCCTCTTACTTCTTAGAAAGCACCCTGTCTACCATGAAAAAAAAGCCATTTTTCGATAACAACGACACTTCCTGTGGAACCACCTCTCTGTGCTCAGACCACCGCACAACTGGGCCCAGCGGTTGCTCCGTCTCACGGAGAGAGAACTCTGTGGCCCTCCTTGCCGTGGCCGAGGATGGGGGGCAGGAAATGACAGGTGGCGTAGGAACTAGGGTCTCACTTCTCCCTGTGGGCCTGGGGTTGACCTGGGTCACCTCCACCCTTGAAGCACCAGCCTAGGCACTTGGCATTCTCCTCAGAGACCAGACAGACTTGAAAGCCCGGGATGGGGCACCCCGCTGCCCAGTGGAGAGACTTCCTGGACACGCTGCAGGGTTCTAACAAGACCCAGGCTTCTAAGGGAGCCTGCTGCCACCCCCTCAGGAAGCCTAGACCCGTCCCTCCGTGCGGCAAAGACGGCTGGATGTTCCCGGGACTCCAGGGACGGCCGGAGGGTTGGCTGCACGTGCTAACGTGGCCCATGTGCAGAGGCGCTAGACCAGCTGCTCAGAAACTGCACGGGCACATCTTAAAAACAGACCTTTTTCAACTGCAAACCAACCAGCGTGTGATCCACTAGGTCTGGGATGGGGGGTCTCAGTGCTCCAGGTGGTTATAGACACAGCCACGTTCAGAGACGGTTGTAAAACGACACCCTGGGCCTGAGGGCTTCTCCGAAGACTCGGGAGACCCTGGGAGGCCTGTTACCCTCACGGCCAGTGTGCTCTGATCCAGGAATGAAAAGCTTTTAGAGCCAGCTTGCAGAGAAGTCGGTGCCAACTTCACAATGCTTTAATATTTTTTTCTGAGAGCTGACTTTGGGAGGGAATTCTGCATAAGAGCAAGTCCATACCCTATATCCTCTCCCCACCACACACACACACATGCTTCCAGCTAAGTCTTCCTGCTTGCTGCCTGGCAATCACAGACCAAAAATAGGAGCCAGAACAGGGTTCGTTCTATCCTTGCTGTTTGTTTTTATGATCCAATTACCACCCAAGTTCCAGGCGCTCTCAGCCGGCTCCTTGCAGCGCTCCTAGCCTCCTCACAGGGAGAGCCCTGAGAGAGGGGCTGCCTCGTGTCCATTGGGCCACACCAGCCTGACCCCAGAGGCCCAGGAACAGATGTCCTGTCCTCACCGACACAGTCTACCACGGACAAAGCTCAGAGAGTCCCCACGCCCTCCTAAGGGGGTCCGGGACCTCCCGGAGTCACCCACCCTCCTTCCCACCGCAGGCCCCTCTTACCCTGGCACAGTTTCACCAGGCCCATGACAATGATGGCAATGAGCGCCAGGACCTTCGCGTACGTGAATGCATCCTGCACCCGGGTGCCCCATTTGACGTAGGCACAGTTCACAAATGTCAGCAGACCTGGAAGAGAAACCACACGGTCACCGGCAGGCTCCAGCTGAGGGCACAGAGGCCCCACCTCCTTTGCCAGAGTCTATGGCTTCTGCCCCGTCTGCCTAAAGCACATGTGTCAAACACAAGGCCCGCGGGCCAAATCTGTCCCGCCAGGCCTTGCAATGTGGACCGCACCGGGCTGTCATCACTGCACTCCGCTGCGTTTCCATCACAATGACAGTTTATGACTCTTCAGTAAACCATTCGGCCCACGATTTAGGCTGGATTTTAGATTTTGGCCCCTTCTCTGCTTGAGTTCGACACCCCTAGCCTAAAGCAAAGAGGCCAACGGCCAGTCAGAACCGGTACGGGCAAACGGAGGAACAGCTCCCAGGGGCCCGGGCGGAGCGTTCCCGTGAACAGCCCCTCACTGTTGACAGGATACAAAGGCATGACACATACTCATCAATTCTTTTTTGTTTTGCTTTTTGTTTTTGTTTTTTAATATATATTTTATTGTGTTGTGATTGTTGTTGTTTTTTTACAGAGAGAGAGGGATAGAGAGTTAGAAACACCGATGAGAAATATCGATCAGCTGCCTCCTACACACCCCCTACTGGGGATGTGCCCCCAGCCAAGGTACATGCCTTTGTCTGGAATGGAACCTGGGACTTTTCAGTCTGCAGGCTGACGCTCTATCCACTGAGCCAAACCGGTCATGGCTGTTTTGTTTTTTTTAATCCTCACCTTGAGGACATTCTTTTTTTTTAAAATATATTTTATTAATTTTTTACAGAGAGGAGGAGAGATGGATAGAGAGCTAGAAACATCGATGAGAGAGAAACATCGACAAGCTGCCTCTTGCACACCCTCTACCGGGGATGTGCCCACAACCAAATGTACATGCCCTTGACCGGAATCGAACCTGGGACCTTCCAGTCTGCAGACCAACGCTTTACCACTGAGCCAAACCGGTTTCGGCAAGGACATTCTTTCTATTGATTTCCAGAGATAGTAGAAGGTAGGAAGGAGGGGGAGGAAAGGAAGAGAGAGAGAGAGAGAACATCGACGTGAAAGGTACATGCCCTTGACAGGGAAATGAACCTAAAACCCTTCAAGTCCGTCCGACTGCTCCAACCACCGAGAAAAACTGGCCAGGGCCACATTCATAAATTCTGACAACCAGACCATTTCTGGAAATTTCTCCCAGGCCCACTCAGACTCCCAAGGTCCTAAACCACCCAAGGCACAAGGCCTGCTCATAGCCACCTTAGAGAGCAGAGACAAGAGGCCCGTTAATAAATGAGGTGCGTTTGAATGTAGCTGGCAGGTCACCGGGGAATTACACTGTTTGTGTATGAGTGTAAAAAAGAGATCTGGAGGTAGATTTGGAAATCCGACTTCTGGAGTTGTTGTGGGGGTGGGGGCAGGGGGCAGAGAAGGCAAAAAAATAAATAAAATAAAAAAGAAATCTGTCATGTGCCTGAGCATTTCACACACGTCCTGTCCATTAATTCTCACAGCCCCAACATATAGACGTTCCTGTTTCCATTTTACAGAGGAGGAAAATGAGGCTGAGGGGTCCATGAGGAAACACGGGCCCCGCTGACCGCTCCGTCCCCACGATTCTCGGGGGGGCATGAGCAGTGAGCTCACTGGGCATCCCCTGGGCTCCTGTCTGCACCATGGCTGTGTGTTCCGGCTCCTCACACACCTCAGCGATACCCAGGCCCTGGGAGGAGGGTCTCGGCACCTTACCCCCAGTAAACAGGTACGGCTCTGATCCACAGGGAAGGCACAGAGCAAAACACCAGGGGCTCCAGACCACCCCGACCTATTCCTACCTATTTTTCACTCTGCTTCACCTGTCTCTCTCTCTCTTTCTCTCTCTTTCTTCTTTCTCTCTCTCTCTCTCTCTCTCTCTCTCTCTCTCTCTCTTCTCTCTCTTTCTCTCTCTTTCTCTCTCTCTCTCTTTAATATATGTTTCTATTAATTTCTGAGAGGAAGAGATAGAAATGTCAATGATGAGGAGAATCATTGATTGGCTGCCTCCCGCACGCCCCACACTAAGGGGATCAAGCCCACAACCCGGGCACGTGCCCCTGACTGGAATCGAACCCAGCACCCCAGGTCAACACTATCCACTGAGCCAAACCGGCCAGGGCCAGACTCTCTTTCCTGGTGCCCGATACACAGGAAAAAGAAACGTTCTCCTCTCCGCCTGCCACAGCCGCAGCAGCTCGCACTTTCAAGGTCTAGCTCTACCCCCACTTCCTCGGTAAAACCTTCCCCAAACAGACCCGCCAGCGCCGCGCCCTGCGGTATTCTCACTTCACAGCACAGCCCAGTGCCTCAGGCTTCAGTCACTGGGGCCTGTCTCAGGAAGGTCTGTCTCTCCCTGGGGCGTTTGGGTGGTGCTTCTCGAGGACATCATAATTCTTAGGGAGGAAAGAAAGCATTTTGTTTTCTTAAGCTTATTGCCAGACTGAGAGGGGAAATGGTGACTGAAATGGTGACTCAGAATCAAGCCCGGGATGACCTTCACTGCCCATGAGTTCCCCGGAACAAGGCAAGTGTCCGGAACTTGGACATCCTTCCAGTCCATGGAGAGGAAGGCGAGGGCCGGCCGGTGGCTGAACGGCCTGGGAAACACTTGGAGAGCTTTCACTCCGCGCTCTGGCAAATGGCACAGGTGCCTGCTGGTACAGCCATAGGAGGTGGGGGCGGTGTGAGGGTGAAGGTCAAGGGGAAGGGGAGAAGACCAGAGGAAGGCATGCTGCTGCAGGGCTTCCCGGGGAGCTTCCCTGCTAACCAGTGCGTGGGGCTGAGGCTGGACCAGCTGTCAGAGGATTACCTAGCTAACGGCCACCGGTAATCCATCTGCAGGCCCTCGCGCAATACAGTAAGCACACTGCGAGGTGCCGGCCTCCCTCCCGGGCTCCTTCGGGGAATGGCTCCCCCTCCTCTCTTGTGCCAGACACGGGACCCCGGCCGAGCCTGTGGGATCATCCTCCCCAGGGACGGGGAGTCGGAGACCCAGAGACAGAAGCATAGCAGCAGGTCCGTCACCTACAAACCCTGCAGCAAAGGAACCACAGGAAAGCAGAGGAAGGAAGCAGGACCGCGGAAAGAAGAAGTGAGAGGGTACACACCTTGTGGTAAAAGTCTGACACAGAAGGCAGAGAGAGAGGTAAGAGACAAAGACGGGGAGGCAGAGGCAGGGAGAAAGGGACAGAAAGAGGGAGACAGGTGGACATACACAGGAAGTGACTGCTCCCGGCTCGAAGCATGAAGATGTGGCTGCAAGATGGGGAGAGAGGCTGACATACTCCTCAGCCACACAAACGGGCGCTGCCTCGCACTTCTGCTCCTTCTCCCACCCTCCGCCCTGCCACACCCTTCCCCCCCCTCTCTGCCCACAGTGGGGATTCACCACGACTAGTGCTGCCAGTGCTGAAGGAAGGAGGGAAGGCTATGCCTCCTGCCTCGTGGGAGTCCCTGCAGAGCGCCTACTGAAAGACCGGCTGGACAGTACCATTGGTCACTGTGGCTGCCTCTGAAGAGGAAGACTAGCGCTCGGAGAGGGAGACCTTTTCCATCGTACGCCCTTCTATACTTACACTTATTTACCATGCACAGGTGCTTCTTTCTCAATAAAAATAAAAATACTTAACCAACAACACGCAGCCAGCCAGGGAGCAGGGTCTGGAATAGGATGGGGCAGGGCACCTGGGACACCACAGCTAGGGAGGCCCCCCTGTCAGAGGGCCCCGGGCAAACCGTCCTCAAACGCTGGCCCCAGCGCCGGGCCTGCTTCCCCCCCGCGCTCAGCCCGGCAGGGAACAGGGAGCGCTGGGAACAGTCTGCCGGGCAGCAGTCGAGGCCTCTGAACATTTTCCTGATTCTGATTAAGAAATAGCCGAACCACCATTTGCCCACCATCCAGAACTGAAATACCATAGCTGACATGCACACATAAGGAACTGTTTGGGTCTCTAAAGAACCGGTGGCCCAGAAAGAAACTCACTACAGACTGATTCATATGCCTTTCAGCATAACCATGATTGCTTGTCTCAATTTTGATTCTTATACTTCCAGTAGGACATGATCTCACTCATCTGGGGGAAATGGTGAACAGCATAGGCTGATGAACAAGAACAGACCCAGAAATAAGGAGCCATGGGTCAGACTGTTGAACATCAGAGGGAGGGTGGGGATAAAAGGGAGAGATCAACCAAAGGACTTATGTGCACACATATGAGCCTAACCAGTGGTCAAGGACAATAGGGGGGTGGGAGAAAGAGGGGGGGGGGATTAGAATGGAGGGTTGAGGACAAATATATGATACCTTAATCAATAAAGAAATTTAAAAAAAAAATTGCCGAAACTGGTTTGGCTCAGTGGATAGAGAGTCGGCCTACAGACTGAAGGGTCCCAGGTTCCATTCTGGTCAACAGCACGTACCTTGGTTGTGGGCACATCCCCAGTAGGGGGTGTGCAAGAGGCAGCTGGTCGATGACTCTCTCTCATCGATGTTTCTATCTATCTCTCTCCCTTCCTCTCTGTAAAAAAATCAATAAAATATATATTTAAAAAAAATTTTTTTTAAAGAAATTAAAACTTCTAATTAAAAAGCAGTTTAATTAGTGGGTAGTCATGTCCAAGGCCAGTATCTTTTGCATCTCAGATAACACACCTGTGGAATGTCAGGGTACCTTGTAACTTCCGTTTTTCCAGACCTCTCAAGGCACAACCAATGTGTCAGGGCACCAGGGTAGAGACCAGAAATTCCCTCCTTGTTAGCCGTTAACTGTTGTTAATTGTTATTAATCTTATTAATTGTTGACTGTTAACTATCCTGTACCTATGTAAAAGAAGTGTGTGTGTCGAGCCCAACTGGTATGACTCAGTGGTTGAGCATCAACCTATGAACCAGGAGGTCAGGGTTCAATTCCTGATCAGGGCACATGCCTGGGTTGCGGGCTGCAGGAGGGAACATGCAGGAGGCAGCCGATTCTCTCTCATCATTGATATATTTTTTTAAAATATATTTTATTGACTTTTTTTACAGAGAGGAAGAGAGAGGGATAGAGTTAGAAACATCGATGAGAGAGAATCGTCGATCAGCTGCCTCTTGCACACCCCCCATTGGGGATGCCCACAACCAAGGTACATGCCCTTGACCAGAATCAAACCTGGGACCTTTCAGTCTGCAGGCCGACACTCTATCCACAGAGCCAAACCGGTTTTGGCCATCATTGATATTTCTATCTCTCTCCCTTCCTCTCTGAAATCAATAAAAATATTTTTTTTTAAAAAGAAAATGAATGTTATAAAAAAAAAAAAAATATGTGTCTGTCAATTTAATTTTTATCCAATCCCAGAGTTTTCCTGCTTTGCTTTCTCCCACCTCCCTAACCTATCACCAATGGATTTCATGTAACTCACTTACACCTTCTCCTTTGAATATAATATACAGAACAAGATGAAAACTGCCATTCTCTGGAGCATTATCCCAATACGTTGAAATTCTGCTTCCCAGCTGTGGTCGACAGTTTGGCTCAAATAAACTCACAAAAATTCTTCACACGTTTGAATGTGTTCATACATTAGCAATATGGGTAACACCTCAGGGAATCTCTTTAAAGGGTGAGGCCTGCCTTTCTTCCTGTCAGCCACGATGCAGGCATGACAGCGTGAGCCTGAGTAGCCAGCCTGGACCGCCAGCTAGAAGTCACATGCTGAGGGCAGGCCCGGAAGGCAGAGAGAAGCAACCCGGCTCCCTGAAGGTTTACGAAGTCCTCCTGCAAGCCCCCGCTGTCTGCTTCTCACGTGTGGGAGAAATAAACTTCAGTGTGCGTGAGCCATGCTGCTTTTGGTTTTCAGCGTCTGAAACACAAACTAATCCTGAATAATGCATGTGTCCTCAGACAGACCCGCGCCGCTCATGTTCTCTGACGAGGAAATGGCCGGACAACCTGAAGCTGTAGTCCCGGTTCTGTGGACACTCACAGCTCCCTCTTCCCACAGGCCCCAGGGAGGGGAAGGAACTGTTCCATACCCTCCTCCTCCTCCTCTCCTCCCCCTCTCCCTCCTCCTTCCCTTCCTCCTCATGGTCGGCTTTGACAAACAAACCCTCAGGGGCAATGGAGTCTCAACCGTGAGGAGGCCTCTGCTTTGATGCCTCTAGGTCAGTGGTGAACCGACTTCCTTGTTGAAACCGTCACAGCAAATACTCGCCAATGATGTGTGTGAGGCTACATAAAAAGCAAGATCCCACGGAGATAAACGTACTGACAATAACTAAGCCAGAACCATACACTTCTGAGGTCAAACCAAGGTCTGGGCACCTAGACTTACAATGCTGGGCACCTGGCCAGAGAGGGGTCCTTTGGACCTCAAGAACTACCGCCCTAGCTGGTGTTGCCCGGTGGTTAGAGTGTCGTCCTGTGGAACAAAGGGTCTCTGGTTCGATTCCCAGTCAAGGACACATACCTGGGTTGCAGGTTCAATCCCCAGCTGGGTTTGTGCAGGAGACAACCGATGTTTCTCTCTGTCTCTCCCCCTCCCCTGCCTCTCTCTCTAAAATCAATAGAGCTGAAACCGGTTTGGCTCAGTGGATAGAGTGTAAGCCTGCGGACTGAAAGGTCCCAGGTTCAATTCCGGTCGGGGGCAGGTACCTTGGTTGTGGGCACATACCCAGGGGGGGATGTGCAGGAGATAGCTGATGGATGATTCTAGCTTTCTATCCCTCTCTCTTCCTCTCTGCAAAAACTCAATAAAATATATATTTTTTAAAAATAAAGATTTTAAAATAATAATAATTTTTTAAAAAGTCAATAGAAAAAAATATCCTCAGGTGAGGATTAACAAACAGAAAAAGGAGTTCTCAACATTTGGTGGTAGATTAAGGGTGATCTGAGGCTCAGTTAATTTTCTCCTTGATGAATATGTTTTATAATCAGAAAACCATTCCTTTTTTAGAGAGCTCAGTCAGGCCAGAATCCCCCTGGCCCAATCCTATCAGATATATAACTGTGTTCCCACCCCCCCCTCTTCCCTGGGACATCTGTGGAGGGGTTCCTTTAACATTTGTCTGTAACAAATGCCTTACAGTGAGGAGGCACAGTGTACGGTACAGCCCTTCATACTCCGGTGCTCTCGATCTATTTTTAACCCTGAGGATAAATTACATATACTGCCAAGACTTTTGCCAGCAGAGATATGGAAAGAACACAGGATAATCAAGTGTCTCTGGCAGCACAATGCTAAGGAACACAGGGAATCGTGGGCCGCTCCGCAGCTAAATAAAACACAAACTCTACAGGACCGGGGAAATTCACAGCAATCTCTTCCCTTCCCGTGACTTCACACAGAATCCCTCCTTACCGCCTCGGAGGGGAAAATGAAAATAAAGAGGGATCCACTGGGATCTCTTAGGTTCTGTCCTCAAAACACCAAATGCAGGGTTAGAAGCCATCCACCTGCCTCTCACTGGCCCCAGGCAGGACTTGTTTACAAAGTCAGGGCAAAGAAATCTGAAACAGCCGAGACCGGTGTGGCTCAGTGGATAGAGAATCGGCCTGCGGACTGAAAGGTCCTGGGTTCGATTCCGGTCAAGGGCATGTACATTGGTTGCGGGCACATCCCCAGTAGGGGGTGTGTAAGAGGCAGCTGATCGATGTTTCTAACTACTATCTCTCTCTCTTCCTCTCTGTAAAAAAATCAATAAAATATAAAAAAATTTTAAAAAGACAAGAAAAGAAATCTGAAGCACCAAAGGGTTGGAAAAGCCATTTGGTGTGGTGCCTGGCTGTGGCGGTGGCAGGAAGAAGGGGCTGAGGTCCCGGGGAGAGGACCACAACCTAGAGAAGGCCGTTTCCTCACGGACGCCTTGAAACTGGCTTCAGATAAAAAGCTGGGAAGCAAAATAACATATTTTTTTTTTTTTAGCAGCATAGTCAAGGCCTCATACTTAGGTTTTTTTTCTGGGTGAAGTTCTAACCAGTGATATCAATTCCAATCAAAACACCTACAAGACGAATAACACCAGTAAGACGTGCGCCGGCCTGTCCCAGCCGGGGGAACAGGACTCAGGGACAGCCCAGCGTGGAAGGAATGCGAGGCTCTAACCGCCTCACACAAACAAACGTAAACTTTTCCCATCCCGTTCGCTCTTCCCCCTCATCTCAGGACCACATGACTTCGATGAAATCACTTCTTGAGCCCGGCGGGCATGGCTCAGTAGTTGAGCACTGTCCTGTGAACCAGAAGGTCACGGTCCGATTCCCGGTCAGGGCACATGCCCAAGGTTGTGGACTTGACCCCCTAGCAGGGGTGTGGGGGGGAGGGGGCCTGATCAATGCATTCTCTCTCATCATTGATGTTTCTATCTCTCTCCCTCTCCCTTCCTCTCTGAAATCATTAAAAATATACGTATTTTAAATATATATATATATATTTTTAATATATTTTATTGATTTTTTACAGAGAGGAAGAGAGAGGGATAGAGAGTTAGAAACATCTTTTTTTTTTAATATATTTTATTGATTTTTTACAGAGAGGAAGAGAGAGGGATAGAGAGTTAGAAACATCGATGAAAGAGAATCATCGATCAGTTGCCTCTTGCACACCCCCCACTGGGGATGTGCCCTCAACTAAGGTACATGCCCCCGACCGGAACCGAACCTGGGACCTTTCAGTCCGCAGGCTGACGCTCTATCCACTGAGCCAAACCGGTTTCGGCTAACTATATATATATATATATATATATTTTTTTTTTTTTCCAAAAAAGAAATTACTTCTGAAGAGATATAATACCTCTTTTCCTCCCAGCGAGCAGTATATAAGGTGCCATGAGCATTATTCAACGAGCCGCCACCCCCCCCCCCCCCCCCCCCCAGCACTCCCCAGGAGCCCGCACACTTACATATGCAAGCGGCAGCGAGCAGACGGCAGGCCAGGTAAGGGGGCTCGCAGGTGGGGAAGGAGGGCTGGATGATGTAGTTGGCAAAGGTGATGGCGATGATGGCCTGGCTGGTGGGCTCCACGATGAGCAGGGAGGCCCACAGGCGGATGAAGGCGATGAAGCCGCCGAAGGCCTCCAGGATGTACGCGTAGCTGGCCCCGGACTTGGTGATGGTGGTCCCCAGCTCCGCGTAGCAGAGGGCGCCCACCACCGAGAAGAGCCCGCCGATGGCCCAGACCACCAGCGACAGCCCGAAGGAGGCGGTGTGCACCAGCACGCCCTTGGGCGAGACAAAGATCCCCGAGCCGATCATGTTGCCCACCACCAGGCTGACCCCGTTCAGCAGCGAGATCTCCTGCTTCAGCTGCATGCTCTCCGTGGCCCCCCGGGGCACCACGCTCTCCTCATCCTCCCGCGACCGGTTGGCCTCGGCCATGAACTGGTAGGTGGACTCCGTGCTCTCCCTGGATTCCATGGCCAACGGCTCCCTCGCGCCCGTGCGGACGACAGCCTGGCAGGGAACACGAGTGTGTCAGTGCAAGGCAGGGCCTTGGGGAGCTGCTCCTTTAGACCCCGGCAAGGCAGGCAGCTTTCCCTGCCCACCTGTGACGCGGGAACAGCACGCCTCATACACGGGTGCAAAGTCAATGAGCCTGTCTGTTTCCACCACGGGGCTCTGGGCAATGAGTAGAGACCGCTCCCAAGAAAGATACCAGAAGAGATCAGGCAAAGATACGGAGGCTACTGCCAACATGAGGTGCCTGGCTGGACGCCCAGGCCAGGCTGGCATTCAGTTTAGCCAGAGCACAGGTTTCTCCTGAGACGTAGTGTTTGCAGCTTGAAACCTGCAAACCTGCCCTGCAGAGAAGACCAGGGCCCAGGCACCAGGTTCTCACACAGCCCTAGCCAGCCTGAGCGGCTTCTCGCTGTCCATCCCCAGGGAATCCTGCCCGCTCACCTCCACCCCAGCGTAACTGATTTCTGCAGCATCCAGCCACCTGTGGGGAAGTCTGCAGCTGCTGCCAGGCTAGCAGAGAGTGTGAGCCTGTGGCGGGAAGGGCCAGGAGGATGCTAAGACAAGGGCACATCACTATCGCAGAGACGGGACCAAGGAGAAGACCCTCATGAAGATACACCCCCATATGTTGCTCTTTCCAAAATACCACCTTACTTCCTCCATTGCTCTGTGCCCAATTCAACACCTTTCTCTCTCCGGAGTGCCCAGAGAGGGCTAGCATAATAAGACCAGGCGGAGAAAGAATATTCAGAGGGGCATTCTAACGTGGAGCTCATCTGCTAAGGGCTTATCTGCTTTTCTCCTCAGCACGCCCCTCACTGCCACCTGAGTCGCAGAGAGATTCTCCCAGAATGGGATCCAGAAGTCTCCACACCCAATCAAAGCTGTAAGGTTCCTCTTATCCCCCAACCTGGTTTTGGAAGGCATGCTAAAGGGAGATGGAACACACACACACACACACACGCACACGCATGTACGCACACGCATGCATGCACAATACCACCTTTGGATTAGAGTTGGGCCAGTCCAGAAACCTCAAGGAAGCTGGATCCTACACCAGCCTACCTATGAAGGACCCAGAATCTGTCAGAGGAAGATGGCACCTTCTTGACCCTCCACTCAGCACGGCCTTCTTCTCCCCCCCCTCACTTCCTGTGCCCTGGAGTCAAGAATTCAGATGCCCTGCTCCTGACTCACCTTCGGGAGAAAGGAATCCGGTAGGCCCTGTAATCCCACCCAGGAATCAGTCCTTCAGCGGCATGGAGGTCCTCCCATGGATAAGAACGGAATCTCAAACCAAGCATGAATGAATCACTACGTCCGCTTCCCGGAAGCCTCTGATCTGCTGCACAAAATGGATGTGCCAGCGCCTGGCCTCACGGCGCTCAGCGCCAGGGAATCAGGGCCTTTGAGAGGGAGCAGTTCTCCACTCGCCACAGCCTCACCCCAAACTCCTGCCCTGCCTATCCCAGGCCCCTTTCAGACCACAGACCTGAGCCCAAGTGGGGAAAAAAGCTCCTCTGGCTCAGTGGTTGAGCATCGATCTATGAACAAGGAAGTCACAGTTTGCTTCCTGGCCAGGGCACATGCCTGGGCTGTGGGCTGGATTCCTGGTGTGGGGCGTTGGTCAATGCTTCTCTCTCATCACTGATGTTTCTGGCTCTGTCTCTCTCTTCCTCTCTGAAATCAATAAAAATATGTGTTTTTTTTAAAAAAAGAATAAACAACAAACTCCTTTGGGTCATAAGTAAACCCTCCGCCACTCCCGGAGGAGTGAGCCGGGCTACCTCTGACAGGGCCTGGCTGGAAGGAGGCACCACTTTCGCTCCCGGCACCACGCCTGCAGCTTTCCCTATGCGGGCACGTGGGAACTCATTTGTTTGCACGTGTCTGCCAGGTGAGGCCAGGCAGGAAAACAAAACAAGGAAATAGCGGAGGAGCCTATATTCTCACCGTCTAGGCCAGAGAGACCGGGGCTGCTTGTTCTGACACAGGAGCAGAGCCGGCTCCAGGGACCACGCCAGCCTCCCCCTGTCCCGTCAGACCCTACAGGGTGTTCTATTTGGACCTCTGTGTGGGTTCGCTATTTCCCAACGCTGACTCCTGTCCTACAATCTAAGTCAATTCTGACGCTAACTACCCCGAGATAGTATCAGATTCCACAGGTTAGGGCTCGGTCCCACAGACCTGCGCCCACTTACCACTTCAGATGCCAATCACAAGTCCAGGTGGTTACCAGCGCTTTTGACTGACCGGCTGTAAGTTGGGGGTTCCTACTACCCTCTCCTTGAGTTCAATTAATTTGCTAGAGCAGCTCACAGAATTCAGGAAAACCTATTAGATTACCAGCAGAGTAGGGTTCCTAGCAGCTGCTGCCGGCTGCAGGCCGAGCCTTCCTCCCTTCACAGGTCACCTGCCACCGCCTCTGCCTCCAGGGCCTCCCTCCCTTCCCCCAGCCGGCCCCGCCCCCTGGTCCAACTCCCAGAGGAACTCTCAGTCAGGAGACAATTTGCATACTATGTTCTTATTATATAGGAAGGTTATAACTGAGGTTTTTCCTCCACAGACCTCAATGGAGGCTCATGAGAAATACTAGACAGGCCAAAACCGGTTTGGCTCAGTGGATAGAGCACGGTCTGTGGACTGAAGGGTACCGGGTTCGATTCTGGTCAAGGGCATGTACATTGGTTGCGGGCACATCCCCGGTAGAGGGTGTGCAGGAGGCAGCTGGTCAATGTTTCTCTCTCATCAATGTTTCTAGCTTTTTATCCCTCTCCTTTCCTCTCTGTAAAAAAATCAATAATATATATATATATATATAAAAAGAAAGAAAGAAAGAAAGAAAGAAAAAAAGAAAGAAAGAAAGAAAGAAAGAAAGAAAGAAAGAAAGAAAGAAAGAAAGGAAGAAAGAAAGAAAGAAATACTAGGCAGGAGACTAGAGAAAGCCTAGCAGCAGTACTAGCCTGAAGAAAGCAGCCACTACTCTGTGAAGAAAACAAAGGTCTGCCTGGTCCATTCTCTAAAGTAGGGGTGTCGAACTCAACCAGAGAAGGGGCCAAAATCTAAAATCCAGCCTAAATCGCGGGCCGAATGGTTTACTGAACAGTCATAAACTGTCATTGTGATGGAAACGCAGCGGAGTGCAGTGATGACAGCGCGGTGTGGGCCACATTGCAAGGCCTGGCGGGACGGATTTGGCCCGCGGGCCTTGTGTTTGACACATGTGCTCTAAAGAAGGAAAATATTGCCCAGCTGGTGTGGCTCATGGTTGAGGATCAACCCATGAACCAAGAGGTCACCAGTTCAATTCCCGGTCAGGGCACATGCCTGGGTTGTGGGCTAGATCCCCGGTAGGGGACAATGCAGGAAGCAGCCAACTGATGATGTTTCTCTCTCCTTTCCTCTCTGTAAAAAAAAATAAAAAATAAAAAATCAATAAAGATAAAAATACTAAACACCTGGGAAAAGGCAGCACACTGTCACTACCAAAATAGCTGAGGCAGAAAGTTCAGATCCAGAGGTAGAGCCTTAGAGGGTCCTACCTCTGGGGGCGGAGTAGGGTCACCCAGAAAGATCCATCCACTCCCAGAGCCAGGGAATCAGGGCCTGCCTAAGACCAGGCTGAACCAAAACAACTGTAGCAAGTACCCAGCAACAAGACTACTGTGGGAGGTGGTGTCTTGGGCACAGGGGCAGAAAGGCTTAAAGCTGAAAGTGGAGCATAAATACAGGGGGGGAAAAGACCTCCCTTCGCTTTCAGTGCACAAAAGAAAACCACAGCAACAACAAAACCCAAACACAACTCACCTCCTAACCAACTCAAACTTCTACACTAACCGCCTAGTAAAAGAAGAGGGTACTTACTTCCCAGAATGAATGCTATGCACCTACACCTGGCAATCAATAACAAACTACAAGCAACGCACAAAATAAAACAACAAAAACAACCCACTATCGAGAGGCAAAGTAATCAACAGGATAAGACTTAGAGATGACCCAGATATAGAAATTATCTACAGGAAAATTAAAATAACTATGATTATGCCGAAACCGGTTTGGCTCAGTGGATAGAGCGTTGGGTCTGTGGACTGAAAGGTCCCGGGTTGGATTCCGGTCAAGGGCATGTACCTTGGTTGCGGGCACATCCCCAGTAGAGGGTGTGCAGGAGGTAGCTGGTCGATGTTTCTCTCTCATCGACATTTCTAGCTCTCTATCCCTCTCCCTTCCTCTCTGTGGAAAATCAATTTAAAAAAACATATTAAAAATAATAATAAAATAAAATAACTATGATTATGTGAAAAGTAATATAAGCAAATATCAATTGGTCTGACATAAATAGATTGTTTAAAATATATTTAATTTAATTTATTTTATTGATTTTTTACAGAGAGGGAGAGAGACAGATAGCTAGAAACATTGATGAGAAACATCGATCAGCTGCCTCCTGCACACCTCCCACTGAGGATGTGCCCGCAACCAAGGTACATGCCCTTGACTGGAATCGAACCTGGGACCTTTCAGTCCGCAGACTGACGCTCTACCACTGAGCCAAACCGGCTTCGGCTAAAGTACTTTTTTGTTGTTTATTTTCCATTGCTTTAGAATGTAATTAGCCGCCTAAAGCAAAAATAGTAGTAATGTACTGTGGGCTTACATGTAAAAGCAAAATATATGACATCAGTACAAAGATAAGAAGGAAGAATTGAGAGTTATACTGTTGTGTTTTTATATGTGAAATTATGCAATTTAATTAAAGCAGACTGTGATTAATTAAAGATATACATTGTAGCTTTTACATGGACTGAAGGGTCCCAGGTTCGATTCCGGCCAAGGGCACATGCCTGGGGTTGCCGGTTCCATCCCCAGTAGGGGGCGTGCAGAAGGCAGCCAATCAATGCTTCTCTCTCATCATTGATGTTTCTATCTTTCTCTCCCTTCTCCCTTCCTCTCTGAAATCAATTAAAAAAATTTTTTTTTTTTTTTTAATCAGCAGGCAGGTTGGTCAATGGGAAAATAAATGGGGGACATATGTAATACTTTCAACAATAAAGACTAACAGTGCACTTTCCCTCCCCAGACTACACCCTGCCTTTCCTGTCTGTCCCCCTCCTTCCCCTCAAAAAATAAAAAATACAAATAAATATTTAATGAAAAGTAAATAAATAATTACATCAATAAAATAAAGCCAGCCAAGATCCAGAAGAGCTCAAAATGGAACGCCCCAACATAGCTCTTGTCTAAGTAGCTGCATGAATTCTGAGAAAAGTAAGATTGATACCTGCAATAAGACTGGATGCAGGAGATGGGGGCAGGTCAGGGCAGTAGACAGATTTCCAATGGGGAGAACACAGCTTTGGCTCCTACTATCTGCTCAGGATCAGGGCTGTTAGGAACCTGCCCTGAGGGACTGTCAGGACACATTCCAACCTGCTCAGCGGGCCTTAATCCCCTCCGGCATCCAGGCCCCTACAGCCCAGTCACACTGGATTACCTGCCGTTTCCTAAACTCTGGAGCCTGCCAGACACACACATCTTTGTTCTTTGTTCGTACTGAGCCCTTTAATTTTATTGACTTTCCACAGGGAGAAGGATAGAGAACTAGAAATGTCAATGAGAGAGAAACATCGACCAGCTGCCTCCTGCACACGCCCACCAGGGATGTGCCCACAACCAACAAACATGTCCTTGACTGGAATCGAACCTGGGACCCTTCAGTCCGCAGACCGACGCTCTATCCACTGAACCAAACTGTCGTCTTTAAAATCACTGTCAAAGACAACTTCCATTAAATCACTCAGTGTACCCTGGAAGTCCCTGTCTTGAAAAACCAGTATTAAACCCCACTTTAAGGACACAACATGGCTTCCTAGCAGGTTTCTATCCTATTTTCCCAAGCTCCTGCAGCAAATAATAAAAGAATTCACCAAACCACTAACATTTACTTATGAAAATGTAAACATAAAAGAATTAAATGCAAATTTTCAGGGGGAAAAGGGCTCTTTCAAAATTCAGTTGCGAAGAATATTTTACAAGCTGGAGTTTAAAAAAAAACAAAAACACTTTTATAATTGATAACTATGAGAGGGGAATGCTGTTAATAAACAGACCAAAATCTTCATGGTGGTAACACAGAGGACTATTTTTTTTTTTTAACTTTCTGAGTCTTAAAATTTTCCACAGTGAGTATGCATTCATTTTTTTAATGCTTAAACTTTAATATATATATTTATTGTACTTCTATCAAATAACAAAGAGTATGTGACTCTTTCTTTACGTTGGCCTTTTCACATGGGATGCCAGAAACCTCACGATTAAAATCCAGCTCCAAATTCAGGGAATACATACCCTTACTTTTCAACCGTATTTGCTATCTCGCCTTTTTCATGGCTTTGGTTTTCCATTTCTTTCTCTAACAACCTCCCTGCAAGATCGTTCCTTATAAACCACCACAATGACTCTTGAGAAAGAGATCATGTACTCTGTACTTTATTTATACAACAAAGTCTCCTCACTAGTATCGTGTTCCTAAAACTCTTTCCCGATCCCAAAGATCCGAGGAAGTGTGACTGAGAACAGAGCAATAACATTCACTTGTGAAGAAACGAGCAACCATCACCGTTTCACCTCATCCTAAGTGAAGAAGATAAAGTCTCCACACCAAGACCTAATCCCACTTGTCTGCCTTGGCCATTTAATCTCTGCAACAAAGAGTAACAGGTAATTCATCAAAAAAAAAGAGCTAGCAAGCAGCAGCCCCTATTTATCTTTGTAAAAAATAAAATAAAATCCTAAATGAAGAAGATAAAGTCTCCACACCAAGGCCTAATCCCACTTGTCTGTCTTGGCCATTTTATTGATTTTTTACAGAGAGGAAGGGAGAGAGATAGAGAGCTAGAAACGTCGATGAGAGAGAAACATCAACCAGCTGCCTCTTGCACACCCGCTACCGAGGATGTGCCCGCAACCAAGGTACCGGAATCGAACCTGGGACCTTTCAGTCCGCAGACCGAAGCTCTACCACTGAGCCAAACCGGTTTCTGTCTTGGCCATTTAATCTCTGCAACAAAGAGTAACACGTAATTCATCAAAAAAAAAAAAAAAAAAAAAAAAAAAAGAGCTAGCAAGCAGCAGCCCCTATTTATCTTTGTAAAAAAAACAAATACAAAAACAAAACCCAAGTTTTACAGGCACAGCCGGGACAGCACTCAATCACTGAGTCCAACTTGCAGGAGCGTCACGAAAGCAACGAGCCTAAAAGGAATCAGGGGACTAGCCCGGGGACCTCAAATCATTCACGACTAGACAGCTGCTGCTCCCACGTCCCGTGTCCCCAGATCATTTGCGTCACCTTCGGAGAAATTATTCACATCCCGGAGACAGAGGTCAGGAAATTTCCTGTACCAAGAAGTGCCAGGGAGGTTGGTCACAGAACTGCTATTTATTTATTTTCGGTCTGCCATAAAAGTCCACAGCAGCCAGTCAGGGAAGGAGGAAGATAGGAGATTAAAAAAAAAAAAAATCATGCTTGTGGTTTTCCACATATTTATCAGGACAGGAAAACCAGGTATAAAAATATACAGGACGGTCTGAGAGCCCAAAGCCGGGCAGTAAAACCATGAGCCGCTCCCCCCAGGTCTCCGCCCGAGCAGCCCGCAGAGATAAGCCCCCATGGCCCTCAGGGGCAGAGATTTCTTTCCCCGCGGAGGGCAGATTCCCTTTAGCGAACCCCGCCCGCACAAGAGGCACTCCAGAGGCTGTTCGCTACATGCTGATTCCTGCTTACAAGGACCATTACACAGGCCGGCTGTTTGCGCAGCGCTTGGAGGAGAATTCTCACCGCGTTTCACAAATGCCTCCTCCCGCTGTGACAAGAGATGGGCAAACACCGAGCAGGAGGCGGAGGCCCCGGAGAGAACCCTGATGGCAGGAGCGCCCGGTCTCTTCCCGCGTCCAGCAGGAGGGCACCCTACGCCGGCCCCCTTCCTCCCCCGGACCCCCTTCACCCCGCACCCCCTGCCCCCGCACCTCCTCCTCCTGCACCCTCTCCCCTCCCCACCCCCTTCACCCCGCACCCCCTGCCCCCGCACCTCCTCCTCCTGCACCCTCTCCCCTCCCCACCCCCTTCACCCCGCACCCCCTCCTCCCGCACCCCCTCCCCCTGCACCCTCTCCCCTCCCCACCCCCTTCCCCCCGCACCCCCTGCCCCCGCACCCCCTCCTCCCGCACCCCCTCCCCCTGCACCCTCTCCCCTCCCCACCCCTTGCCCCCACCCCCACCCCCGCACCCCTCGGCATCCCCCGCTCCGCTCCCGCCCCCCCACTCTCAGCCTCGCCCCCCGCCTCCTCAGGCTCGGAGCGCAGGTGCTTTCCCATCTGAAGGTTTGTTTCCTTTTTCCTTTCACAGTCCGGTCCCCGCTGCCTCCGCCCTCACACTCACTTCTTACACACTCAGTCACCCGCACACTGAGGGTCACACTCACACAGACTCACACACAAACATTCACACACACACACTGGGGTTCACACTCACGCAGCCACACACACACACACACACACACACACACACTGGGGCTCACACACACACTGGGGTTCACACTCACGCAGCCACACACACACACACACACACACACACTGGGGTTCACACTCACGCAGCCACACACACACACACACACACACTGGGGTTCACACACACACTGGGGTTCACACTCACGCAGCCACACACACACACACACACACACACACACACTGGGGTTCACACTCACGCAGCCACACACACACACACACACACACACACACACACACACACTGGGGTTCACACACACACTGGGGTTCACACTCACGCAGCCTCACACACACACACACACACACACATCATGTGGCCCGGCCCGCGCCCCACGCCCTTCCCCCGGCCCGCGCCCCGCACCCCGCGCCCCGCGCCCCGCGCCCCGCACCGGGAGCGGCCGCGGGGAGTCCCGCCCACAGGACGCGGCCCCGCCGCCCCCGCGCCCGCCCGCCCGGGCCGTTACCTCGCGGCCGCGGCACCAGGATGCTCGGTCGCGCCGCCGCCCCCGCCGCGCAGGCCCCGCCCCGCCACGTCACCGGCGGCCCCGACAGCGACCGCGCCGCCTGGGACCCGGCGCCGCTCCTCCGGGCCTGCGGGCGGCCGTCCCTCCGCCGGCCCGGCGCCCACGTGTGCGCTCCCGGCCTCTGCGCGCACTTGGCAGCCGGGCCCCGGGGCGGCCATGCCGGGCCCCAGGCGGCCGGGACCTGGCCCGGACACCGTGCCCAGCTGGCCAGCCTCTCCCCGGCGCGGCCCCGGGTCACCCCAGCCTCCCCTCGGGGGACTCCAGACGGGACGCTCCCGCGGGGAGTTCCGGCCCCACACCCCGCAACCAGGGGAACCGCAGACAAGGAGCTCTAAACGGCCTCCTCACCTGCCTCCCAGCCAACCCTCCACAAGATCCTAGGACTTGTCCTCCACATCCACTCAGACATCACCACTCATCTATTGAGACACACACACACACACACACACACACACACACACACACCCAGGCCCATGGATACTGCTGGGCTTCTGTAGCCAACCTCCAACCTCAGGCCTTTCTGGGGTTCAGGCTTGAGGACATGTTCCATCCTCATCTTGTCTGACCCTGCTGACACCCCTCACACACACACAAACACACACACACACACACACACTTTTCCTGTCCCTGTGGCTGCGCCTCCTCCGGCTCCTAGGGCTCCTTTTCTTCCAATGGCCTTGGAGTTCTTTCTGTCTGGGCCTCCTGGCCTCATCGGCAGCTGAGCACTCCCACTCAGCTTCCTGTCCACATGTCAAGCCCTGTCTCTCTCCGGGGCCGTGGGGAGTCATTTCCCCCAGAAATGTGTTCACAACTGGCACATCCTTTGGCTCCACACTAACCACACCCAAACCCCTGTTCCCCACCCCCCAGTGGCCCAGCCAGGGATGGGCAGCACTTGGACCCATCCTCCTCCCCCAGCGGTAATGGCCTCCCAATCCCTGTCCTGCTCCCCCTAACTCATCCCCACCGGGGCGAGGGTGCTCTGAAAAGACAGATTGGAATGACTTCATGTCTCCGCTGCCTAAAAACCTCCCATCCTCCTCCCTCCAGTGGACCTGAGATGAGCTTTGAAGAGCCCTCAATGGTGCCGCCCTCACACTCCCTGCTTGGAATACCTTTAAGTGTCAGTGAGAGTTTGTGCATACTTGGAGTCACTGGAGTCTAACCCTTTCTCTCCCTCCCCACCCTCCCCAGATCAGTTCTCCCTGCCTACCTGGCCAGGCAGAGAAAGGGCTATGGACACCTGTGTCACTCCATAGCAGCCAGTCCACGTGTCCTTGCAAAAGCCACACATATAAGACCTTCCAGCTCCCTGTGTTACCGGAAGAGGGACCAGGCCCGGAGCGGGTCTGCCTCCGGCCGGCCTGGTGCGTGTTGGGTTCTGGACTTCACGTGGAAAAGATTTCACACAGGAGGCCAGGTGACTTTAAGAGGACATTTATTGAAGCCGGGGACGGTGGGACACCCAAGGGCTTAGGGTACACGCATGTAGAAGAAGCATCAGGAGAGGACTCGCAGGGGAGTCAGAGGAAAGGGATCTTGGAGACAGGTTCAAGGGGGGTAAACCGGATCGAACGGCAGCCGCCCTTTGTTCCCCTGGTTGCAAGTGGGACCCTGAAGAGTTTAGGAGATGCCCGCCTGAGAGGGAGGAAAGGCCCGGGAGAAGACACCCTGGGTACTTGTCGTGAGGGTTTTCAAGACTGGGAGTTCACTGACACACCGTTACAGCAGCCCACCAGCGGAAAGCCCACTAGGTACCCAGTAAGTACTGAGTCAGACGGCCTCCAACACCATCAGTGTTCCCCAGGGTGTATTTACTCATCCTCATTCTTCATGTATTTATTCTTCCCCATTCTTCAGATGAGCACACTGAGGCCCAGGGAAGTCAGCGTAATACAGGATAGTAGGAAGCTAGGACAATTCCTTGGCGAGTGGAATGCGGAAACTGAGACAGGCAGCTGAACAATCTGGCCAAGCACTTTATGGTCAGATACAGATACAGAAGGTTACCAGGGTGGAAATCCCTGTTGCTTAGCAATGGCCAAAAAAACTGGTGCTGGACCTCGTCCCCAGGGTGGTCTTTCCAGCCCTGGTGTGTCCCTGGCCATGCGGGCTAATCCCCGCCCCTCACCCCCTCACCCCCCTCGACACGGCCCACCCCCCTTTCCTCCCTAGCGATAACAGATGACATTAGGCCTTGGTTGTATTTCAGCTCCAAGCCCATAAAAGCAGCAAAACCAGGTGCGAGAAGCCAGGACCAGCTGCGATAACCATTGGCCCTCTGTTCCCGGCGCCAACCAACCAGCGGCGACCGCGACCCTGAGAGTATGCACCTAGAAAAGCTGGTGACTATTCTATTGAGATCCTTCCCGAGGACCTCTCTCCTAAACTCTCAGCTTCTAAAACCCAAGCCCCAGGAATCAGCACCCACTCTTCCTCCCGGGAGCAGGCCCGGTGCGTCCCTAAGCTCTAAGGGACCCGAGACTTGCAACAATGGGGCCTTTCTTCTGGCTCCCCCGCCTGGCCCAGTTCTTTCTCCTAAAGTTCCTAGAGAGCAAAAGCAGCCCCGCCTGAGTCTCGCTCCTGTTGTTGCTTCTCTCCTAAGCCCTTCCTTATTTCGCTGCCCCCAGCTTTAATAAACGTACCCTCAAAATCACCTGAGATCTTCTCTCAAAATGCTGTGACATCTTTCCTGCGTGAAGTCGAGACCCTCACTGGGGCAGTCCCTGTCTGGTAACAAGGAGAGTCCACAGGCTACGTGGCTGTGCTGGCAGAGCTGAGAGTGGAACCCCAGCCTGCCGGTCCTGAAGCCTGCTCTGGTTCCATGCTCTCTCTGCAGCTGGGAACAAAGGGTGGCAGTTCAGCTGAAATGGTCAGGGATACAGCATGGATGGGTGGGTATCAAGACAGAGCTGGGAGTCAGGCCGCGTAGTGCCTGGGGGTGAGGGTCTGCTCCCTTTCATAGTGTCATCTTTTTGCCAAGGCCAGCAATGCACCCTCACCTTCTCATGACAAACGCTTCCTCCAGGTTTGGCCAATGAGTGCAGTAGGAGGGCTCAGAGCGCCTTCTAGTGGCCTCCGGGATGTATCAAAGCCTGAAGACCAGGCTGGCCCTGTCCTGCAGACAGGAACTAGCGCTCCCACCACCCTACCAGGCCCCTGGCTGGCTCTGGGCTCTGCACTAGAGAATTCAGGACTGGGCCCCATCCCTATGCATGTTTTCCTGTATCAGACTCTCTCTTTATCCATTTCCAGTTGGTCCCCAATCTCTCAGTCCATCTCTACCCATCTTGACCACACCAGTCTCAGCCTCCCTCAGTCTCACTCTGTCCCCTAGCAGGACAGATGAGCTGAAACAAAATAGAAGGATGGCATCCTAAAAAGAACTCTAGGTTCGAAGGATGCTGAGACCCACAGGCTGAGAGAAAAGAGGAAGCTGGGGAACGGAGTCCAGCCAGGGTGACCTGCAGTGTTGTCTCTGGTACCCCGATCTGGGTGGCATAGAAGGCCCGCTGACCAGGCAGGAGCAGGAGCTGCATTCTAGAAGGAATGGTTCAGCCCTCGCTGGTTTAGCTCAGTGGATAGGGGCGTCGGCCTGCAGACTGAAGGGTCCCAGGTTCTATTCCGGTCAAGGGCACAATCAGTAGGGGGTGTGCAGGAAGCAGCCAATCAATGATTCTCTCTCATCATTGATGCTTCTCTCTCTCTCTCCCTCTCTGAAATCAATATTACTTTTTTTTTTTAAAGATAATGTTTCAGGTCCTGGTTCTTAGTTCCAGGAGGGGAACTAGATTCCAGGAGAAGGGACAGGAGAATAAAGCCCAAAGTGGTGCATAGGAGCCTCGCTTCGGTGCTGAGATAACCCACCGAGGCCGCAGGAGAGACCTGGCCCCTGATTACCTGCCCTCAAGCCCTCCTATTGCCCCTCCTCTAGCTCCCTCCTCTCACACTCCGATAGAGCATAGGCCAGGCAACTTGACAGCATCCAGAATACTTTTATTGCCATAATCAAGACACAGCCTGCTCAGAGCCCACCACTCAGGAACAGAGAGAGACAGATGCTGGGTACGTACACAACAGAGAAAACCCGGGTCCAAAGAAGCCTGTGGGAGGGCAGCACAGTCCAGCCTGGTTGTGGTTTTGGGCCCGCACCCGAGGCTAGAACCAAGTCTTGGCCTATAGCCACTGCCCCCTCAGAGACCACTGCCGAAAGGCAGATCCAGACTCTCCAGCCCTGCTCTCACAGGAAGACCTGTGCCACACATGTCAAACTCGCAGCCCGCAGGCCGTGTGCCTAGTTTATTTGGCCCGTGTTAGCCTTTGAGTTTGACATGCCTGACCCACGCAGCATCTGGGGGCAGACAGGAACCCCGCAGGGGGGACTCCAAGGCACCTGGCTCTCATGGGGGGCCCACAGAAGTTCCTGAACTAGTCCCTGAAGACTACACACCACGGTGCTGCCTGATGGAGGTAGGTGCTGGGCAGGGTGGGCAGGAGCCCAACCTCCTCTCAGCCCTGTGCTGGCCCCTTGGGTCCTAGAGAAACCCTATGGGGAAGCTCGGAGTCACCTTGGTCTGCTCTTGAGTTCTCTTTCTCCATCGGGATCTAAGAGGCCATGGCACCGAGTCCTGCTCTCAGCCCTGAATAGGGTGAAGGGAGCCAGCATCGATACTGTCTGCCGGCAACAGCCCAAATAGGGGATCAGAGCTCCTGGGATACAGCCTGCAGATCTAGGGGGGGGGGGGGGGGGGGTGTGTGCTGCCCAATCCTCAGCGAGGCCGTTCTTGGAGGTGAGGGAGGTAGGAGTGAACGCCCCACAGCCTGGGAACCACAGAAAACCCAGCCCAGCCCTGCCTGCAGGGGGAAACAGGCTGCCCCCAGAGAGCCACACAGGCTGCTGTGCAGTGAGGCCTCAGCAAAGTCAGCAGCTCCAGCTCCCCGTGGCCAGGGGCAGCGGTACCTGTGGCCAGCTTGTGGGAAGGATCACCCTAGGGACCAGGGAGCCCGTCGCTGGGACCACAGCTCAGTAACATCCCTCACAGGAAGTCTGAAGGGCCAGGGGGGCCTAGTGGGCCATGTGCAATGACCACAGGAGTAGAAAAGGAACACATGGACCCTGAGTTGGGGTATGGGATCCAGGTGCAGCCAGTCCACCTGCCGCCGGTCCTGAGGTCACAACGATTCCATCAGCAGCAGCGTTCTCTGCATTCAGAGTCCCTTGAGCGAGGCCAGACTATTTCTTCCTTCCTCACTCCCAGAGGAAGGATAAGACACGGCCCTTCCCAACGGCAGATGTTTCATCACCCGAGACCTTGTGTGGCCTTGGAAGGTCAGTTACAAACCGCTAACTTTACGGGCCGCGGCCGCCTGGGGAGGTCCAGGAGCCGCTGTGGCCATGCCATCCCACAGCCTTGCCTGGCACCAGAATCAGGGCCTCAGGAGCAGGAACTTCAGGTAGGCCAGGGTAGTGGCGTTGGCCAGCATCTCGATGTGCTCGCTGCCCGGCAGCTCCTGCAGGGACACCTGGTGCTCCTGGTGGCTGCGCCAGGCCTGGCACTGCAGGGCGCTCTGCAAGTTCACCGTGCCATCGCCGTCGCCAAAGTAGATCTTGGGGTCGCGGTCCGGGAAGCTCTCGTAGGCGAAGGAATCCGGGGTGGGGACGCCAGTGCCGTAGAGGCAGTGCAGGGGCACGCCGGGCGGCACGGCGGCTTCCACCAGCCCCTCCGTGTCCTGCCGCATGAGCCAGCCGTCCTCGAAGCCGATGTCCTGGAAGAACTGGCGGTAGTCGCGCAGCGTGTAGTTGGCCGTGGGCGTGCGCACGAAGACCTTCTCGGAGGACCAGGTGTAGTTGTAGGGCAGCAGCCAGCTGGTAGAGACGGCGGTCCGCTGCTGCTCCCGGATCTTTAGGGGACTAATGACCGGGATCCGGTTGTTGTCCCCTGCGGGGAAGAGGGCCCCCGTCAGTCAGTGCTCAGGAAGGCAAGCTGGGCTGGGCGCCGCGTTCACCACCGGGGCCCCTGCTGGACCCTAACCAGGGCCCAGGCAGCACACCAGCCTCTCCAGTTATCATTATGACTCCCATGCCTGATCAACCGAAGGACTTGTGTGCATGCATATGGGCCTGGCCAGTGGCCATGGACAAAGGGGGGGGACTATGTAGGGAGGGATTTGGGATGGGATTGGGGGGATGAGAACAATTATGTGATACCATAATAAAAAAATAATAATAATAATAATTGGGAGATTAAAAACAAAACAAACAAACAAAACAACTCACATGCCTGCATTACTGTTGTTTCCCTGTAGATTAGCTACCTCTGGGAAGCACCCAACCAAGACTTGTTTTTCTTCCCTTCTGCATTTCTTCACCAGGGATTTAGGCAACACACACCCACAAGGTGAAATATCGCTGGGCCTGTGGGCATTGACCTCACCCAAGGTGAACCGGCAGGCTGTCAGTACAGAGGCACACTCCTTTTTTTTAAATTATAATGAGTTATGTAAATACTTTTCTTTCTCTGGGCTTAGAATTACAGCCAGCCAGTCCTGCCTGTGGCTGACCTGGTCAGCCAGGCCCCCAGGCAGATCTGCAGAAGAGAGCAGGAGTCCTTCAAACACAGGAATGCCAACAATACAAACACACCCAGCAGCCAGTGAAACTCCCAGGGGGTGAGCTGGAACTTGGGAACGGGAGCCGCCCGTCACTCTACCTCTCGGACTGACCACAGAACCACAGCTCTGCCTGGCGAGGCCTGGCTACCCACCTCGGGGGCCATGACTATCACCCTTCCCACCCAGTCCTGCTCCCAGAGTACCAGGGCCTGAAAGAACAGTCTCCCAGTATCCGAGGCAAAGCCAATCCAGGGTCACTACACGGACAGACGCTGGGTCTGACCTGATCACAGCAACCAGTTGGCCAACAAGCAGATCAGGCAGTGCCGGTGACTTGAGGAAGAAAGCTCACCAGATGGTTGGCACTGCCCTGTGGGCAGTGACCTTATCAAAGGTGAACCAGCAGGTTGCCAGCCCAGAGGCACAATCCTGGCTAATGGCTCCTAAAGTGAGGGGCCATGGGGTCACATGGGGCAGAGGGAGGGAAGTCCTATGACTGTAGTTGGCAGATTCTGACAGTCATGAAAACGCAGGTGGCCCTGGCTGGTGTGGCTCAGTTGGTTGAGTGTTGTCCTGTGCACTGAAAGGTTGTCAGTTCAATTCCCAGTCAGCACCCAACCAAGGGTTGTGGGCTCGATCCCCGGTAGGGGGCATGCTGATCCATGTTTCACTCTCACATGGAAGTTTCTCTCTCTTTCTCTCCCTCTTATAAAAAAAAAAATCAATTAAAATATTCTTCTCCAGCTGAATCCGGTTTGGCTCAGTGGATAGAGCATCGGCCTGCGGACTGAAGGGTCCCAGGTTCGATTCCTGTCAACGGCATGTACCTTGGTTGCAGGCACATCCCAAGTAGGGGTGTGCAGGAGGCAGCTGATGGATGTTTCTAACTTTCTATCCCTCTCCCTTCCTCTCTGTAAAAAAATCAAGAAAATATATTTCTTAAAAAATAAAATAAAATATACTTCTCCCATTAAAAAAAAAATCAATTAAAATATTTAAAACAAAAAAGAAAATTCAGGTAAATCGGGGAGAAATGGAATGGGGAAAAAGGTGCCTTTCCCAACTGCCTAGCAAGCAGGCCCAAACAGATCTGCACCTGCTTCCTCCTTGTGTTGCCAACAGAGGTTCTGAGCTGCTGCACATGGAAGTGCAACTCATAAACAGGAAACTGCAGTCCAGCTTCCTTCTCTGGGGCAGAGGTGGGAATGAGAGTGTAAGTATGAGGATAGGAGAGAGCGAGAAGGTTCCCCTCAAAGAACTATGGGTCACACCGAGCTAGGCAGCCAGGCCTGAGCACAATGTGTGCACACATGTGCACAAGCAAGCACTGCATGGCCGAGAGCTATGTCCACGCACATGCTGTAAGAAACTTACACAGAGCCGAAACCAGTTTGGCTCAATGGATAAGAGCGTTGGCCTGCAGACTGAAAGGTCCCAGGTTCGATTCCCGTCAAGGGCATGTACCTTGGTTGCGGGCACATCCCCAGTAGGGGGGGTGTCTCTCTCTCATCAATGTTTCCAACTCTCTATCTCTCTCCCTTCCTCTCTGTAAAAAATCAATAAAATGTTTTGTTTTGTTTTTTAAATCAATAAAATATATATTAAGAAAAGAAAGAAACTTACACAGATAACAAAGGTCCTCAACTAGAGAGGTGACATTGTTTGGAAAAGAATACCGTTCTGGAGAAAGCAGGGTTCCCCAGGAGGACACTGTAGAGGGAAAGAGAGGGTGCCGCCCCCAACACCAGCCCCCCACGCTGGGCCAGGCAGTCTCTTACCTGAGGCCAGGACGCGAAAGGTCTTGGCCACGCCCCCCCAGGGCGCACCCAGTGCCACGAAGGCACGGATGTACTTGTCCTTCCAGGCCTGTGGCTGCCGCTGCAGAAAGTAGAGCGTGTACATGTTGCCCATGCTGTGGGCAACCAGCACCACGGGGCCCCCATACAGCTGGTGCATCTCCTCGATCATCTCCCGGAGGGCCAGGAAGTAGGGCCCATTCTCATCTGCAGGCCAGAGCCGGGCGGGCGGGAGTCAGGCGGGAGTCAGGGTCCTGGGGCCTGAACTAGGACCGTTTCTCAGGCCAGACCCAGGACTAGGAGAGGATGCTAACATTCGAGTGGGAGTGATATGGTTTCCCCACCCATTCAAAGAAGGCAGGAACCAAAGGGGCTCCTTTTCCCCCTCTTCAGATTCACTATCTCTCTCTGGGGCTCAGAGGCCCAGACATCCTGGGGTGACAGAAGGGGAAAGACAGGACAGACTGACCAGGAGGAGGGGAGAGCCCAGGCCTATGGTGACTGAGACCCCCTGTCGCCACCTCCCAGGACCTCAGGGGGAAACAGGGGCGATCACTTACTTGGAGCTCGGCGCCAGTCATAAGGGGCCCCCCGGACGTCCTCACCCCTTGTGTAGCCCCAGCTCACAAGGCTCTCTACCATGGTGTGGAAATAGGAACCTATACACAGAAATGCATAGGATTAGTCCTGACCGGTGTGGCTCGGCTGGTTGAGCGTTGTCCCATGTCCCATGCACCAAGAGGTCACCAGTTCGATTCCTGGTCACGGCACAAGCTGGGTTGCAGGCTCCATCCCCAGAAGGGGGCGTGCAGGAGGCAGCCAATATTTCTCTCTTTCTCCCTCTTCCTTCCTCTCTAAAGTAAAAAAATAATAATAAAAAAATAGCCCTAACCGGTTTGCTCAGTGGATAAAGCGTCAGTCTACGGACTGAAAGGACCCAGGTTTGATTCTGGTCAAGGGCATGTTCCTCCGTTGCAGGTTCCCTGGCCCTGGTCAGGGTAAGTGCAGAAAGCAACCAATCAATGGGTCTCTCACATCAATGTTTCTCTCTCCCTCTCCCTCCCCCTCTCCCTTATACTCTCTCTAAAAATCAATGGAAAAATATCCTCTGCTGAGGATTCACAAAACAAAACAAAACAAAACAAAAAAAGAAATGCATAGGATTACAAAGGGTACTGCCAGTGCCAGCCCGCCACCTATAACATGCCTGCCAAGGCCACTGTGACATTACTGCAGGGAGGTCCCTGAAGGCATGCTCTCTGCCCACACTGATCACAGAACCGCTCTGCCTTCAACTGAGTGGTTCCTCCCACACCAGGAGTCCAGGAAACCTCCAGCCTCCTTCCCCAGAGAGCATGAGAGGCTACATACCCACACTGCTTCTGCTGGGATCCAGGAACTCCAGGGAGAAGGTCTGCCCAAAGCCGGGGACATGCACATCCACCCCATCGGGAAACTCGGTGGCCCGGGACGTCCTGTTGTAGACCAGCCTGTCAGGGGGGAGTGAACACGGAGCTGGTGACCCAGGGTTGGCACTGAATTGGAGTCCCAATGCTGCCCTGTGTGCTGAGCCACACTCCCTTCTCATTCTCAGGTTTGGTCACTTGTACAAGGAGACCAAAAGGTAACTGGGGGTTCAGAGCTAGTCACTGAAGATTGCTTCTGTGGATTGTTCTGAGCTAAGGACAATTTTAGCTGCCCCTCCCTTTAACTTGAATCAGGGTCCTTGCCCATAATAATTACCATTAATTAATTATATGCTAGGGCAAACTTCTATTTACTAAACACTTGTTCTTATCATTCTGTAATAATCCATTGAAACCCCCAGGGCACCTTACCTCAACCCTAGCTCTTCTATCTTATATACCCTCTAGAGGCCCAGTGCACGAAATGCAAGCACATGAAAGGAAATTAATTAGAAGAAATATTTTAATACTGCTATTTGCCCTTTCTCTGTAATAGAAGTATCAGAGATAAAAGAAAATTAGTAAAATATATATGAATATATAAATTTATTAATAAACAATAACATGATATAAAAATATGATAAAAACAATGACTGATAAATTGATTAAACTTATTTTAACACTAAGGCCAATGTCAGATGGGACTAATCAATTCTTAGAATCAGAACAACGTCTCCTCTGCAGATCCTGCTAATACATCAGTATCGATTACCGTATTTTTCGAACCATAAGACGCACTTTTTTCCCCCCAGAAGTGGGGGGAAAAGTCCCTGCGTCTTATGGTCCAAATATAGCCTACACATATACTTAAAAAAAAAAAAGTTTTTTTACTTGCCCGGCTCTGTGTGGTCTCTGTGTGCTTGCCCGGCTCTAAAATGGTTCTAAATGCTGCTGTTTACTTTACAGGGTTGATTACATGTGTTTATGACTGTGATGTTGGGTTTTAATGCACATAAAATATTTTAGGACACTATTTGTTTCAGAATCTTTTTTTCTTCATTTCCCTTCTCTAAAAACTGGTGCGTCTTATGGTCCGGAGCGTCTTATGGTCCGAAAAATACGGTATGTTAGGTCGAAATCTTTTTCTTTAAAAAAATATATATATATTTCACTGATTTTTTACAGAGAGAAAGGGAGAGAGATGGAGAGTAAAAAACATCGATCAGCTGCCTCCTGCACACCTCCCACTGAGGATGTGCCCTTGACCAGAATCGAACCTGGGACCCCTCAGTCTGCAGGCCAACATCTATCCACTGACCCAAATTGGCTAGGACAGGTCGAAATATTTTATAATAAATCTAGTACCATTACAAAGACCCCATTTACTATTAAGATTTCTCAGTAACATGATGATTGCACCTACTTTCCAATTCTAATTTATGACAGGGCATTCCCAAAGGAGTAATACTTTTAAGAAATTCGATGGGAAAAGTTTCCTTTTCGGCATCATCCCTTGAATCTAGTATTATTGTCAATTACACTGCCTTCTCTGAGTCTTAATGCAATATCCGTTCCCCAGCCTTTCTCACCATGTGGGAAAAGAATAGGATAGGTCATTGCATCTAATGTAGGAAACAGGATACTGATTTGTTTCATTTCAGTGGCATTCGGATTATCAGAATCTGGTTTACAATGGATGAGCAAGGCCCTTTCAAAAGGAGGTCCTCCATCTTCATTTCTGAATATGAAGGCAACTTTGATTACACAGAGATAATTATATCTACCCAGATCACTGTTACGATAGTATTTAATCACCATTGTTACTTCTGTGCGATGCCACCTCTGTCTTTCAGCTTCAGAATGTCAACAAAAACAACCAAATTCACTATCAATGACAGATCAAAATACATGCGTGCGGCAGAGACTGGTTTGGGCTCAGTGGATAGAGCGTCAGCCTGCGGACTGAAGGGTCCCGGGTTCGATTCCAGACAAGGGCATGTACCTTGGTTGCAGGCACATCCCCAGTAGGGGGCGTGCAAGAGGCAGTTGATCGATGACTCTCTCATCGATGTTTCTAACTATCTCTCTCCCTTCCTCTCTGTAAAAAAATCAATAAAATATAAAAATAAAAATTTTTAAAAAATACATGCATTCGAGAGGCGCCAGCAAGAACTTTATATGTATTGCACATGTGCGAGTCAACTTAGTCTTTTATAGATATAGAACAAACTTGCTTAATTAGACCTGCTTTCTGATGTAGCTAAACTTTTTTAAGCCCAGTGAAGCACCCCAACTTCTCTTTCAGATTAATTGTCAGCAGTAAATAGTAACACCAAGCAGATTATTATTGTAGATCAGGCAGGGAGAACAAAGGGTAAAATATTTAACTGCAGCAGTGTTTGACTATATTCTGCACAGTGAGAAAACCTGAGGTCATTTTCAAGGTCCACTGTTTCTTACTTCTTTTCAGTTGGGTCAAGTTTCTAAATCTCCAACTTCCAACGAATGAAAAGAAAATAGGATTCTACCTACTCCAGGACTTCTGTGAGGATCAAATGAGAAGAGGCACGGGAAACCGCTTCACAGACATTTGGTTACAGTGTAAAGTGTTTAGACCTGAGGCTAGTCCTCACTGGGAAGAGGAAGCCAGGTGTTGTTACCTGGACAGTCACAGTCAGATACTCAGCATATTAGCCTTTTATATAAATAGATGTTCCCTTTCTGTCTCTGACTCTCTCATGTATGTGGAGTTCCCATACGTACATATGTATTAAATTCAGTTACCAGTATTTTCTATTTGATTAGACCAGCCAAAAGAACCTTGAGAGTAAAGTTTGTTGCTCTCCAACATAACAAAGCAAATTTATAAAGCACAGATCAGAGTGAGGACTCTCTCCAAGGCCTACTTTAAAGACTGACCCTGACCTGACCTGGCTCAGTGGATGGAGGTCAGCCTGAGGACGGGAGGGTCCCAGGTTCAGTTTCGGTCAAGGGCACATACCTTCATTGCAGGCTCCTCCCCGGCCCTGGTCGGGGCTCATGCAGGAAGCAACCAATCAATGTGTTTCTCTCACATCGATATTTCTCTCTGTCTTTCCTTCTCTCTTCCACTTTCTCCAAAAATCAATGAAGAAAAAAATCCTCAGGTGAGGATTAAAAAATAAGTATTAATTAATTAAAAAAATAAATAAAGACTGGCTCCGCAAACCCTAGATGGATCATTTGGTTAGAGCATCATCCTGATATGTCAAGGTTGCAGGTTCAATCCCCAGTCAGTGCACATAAAGAATCAGCCAATGGCTCAGTGGTTTGAGCGTTGGCCTGCGCACTGAAAGGTCCCGGGGTTCAATTCCGGTCAAGGGCATGTACCTTGGCTGCTGGTACATCCCCAGTAGGGGGTGTGCAGGAGGCAGCTGATCGATGATTCTTGCTCATCAATGTTTCTAACTCTTTCTCTCTCTTCCTCTCTGTAAAAAATCAATAGCCAAAACCGGTTTGGCTCAGTGGATGGAGCGTTGGCCTGTGGACTGAAAGGTCCCGGGTTTGATTCTGGTCAAGGGCATGTACCTTGGTTGCGGGTACATGTGCAAGAGGGTGTGCAAGAGGCAGCTGATCAGTGATTCTCTCTCATCATCGATGTTTCTGACTCTCTATCCCTCTCTCCTCCTCTCTGTAAAAAAATCAATAAAAAATATATTTCTTTAAAAATCAATAAAATATATTTAAAAAAAAAAGAATCAACCAATGAATGAGTAAATAAGTGGAACAACAAATCTCTCTCTCTCAAATCAAATTTTTATAAAAGCGGAGCCCAGGACACAGACACTTCTCGATGTCACCCACCCCAGAATGCAGGCCTTAAATCGGCTTGGGAGAGGGAAGCACCAGGTCTGGCTCTGCCATGAACATCACACTTGCCCCCAAAAGGCAACCGAACTTCACAGACTCCCCTCGCTCCATCTCTATGGATCCAGCTTCTACGAGCCACCACATACATACCAGGGCAAAGGAGATGATGAGAGAACCAGACAGAGAGCCACCCCCAGTCTCAGACGAAGCCTAGAGAAATGATGGGGCACCAGGAGAAAGGCCTTATGCCAAACCAGGAATCCTGCTCTGGCCTCCCCGATAACAAGGAGGCAAATGTGCCCAAGAAAACACAAGCTACACAAACAGTCCCTGAGTCCCACCCCGTCCTAAAGATTAGCTACACAAAGCTGACAGGATTCCCAACATTAACCCAAATAATAGGTCCTGGTGACCTACTCTCTCAAGGGCAATCTGTAGGTCACCCCATTGGCCACTCAGCAAAGTGCAGAAGATTGTTCTGGAAAGCCAAGGTAGCTCCGTGCCGGATGAAAGGCAAACAGTCGGAGGAGCAGTGAAGGCAGATAAGCCCCTCCTGGTGTTAGCCAGCACCTCCGATTGGCAGTAACTGAGACCACGTCTCTGGTACAAAAATAGAAATGCAGATCAACAGCCAGAAATGCTCTGATGAAAACACACACAGAAGAGGAAACAGTCCACAAAGCAGGCATCTTAAACAACGGGAAGGGGGCGGTGCCTGCAGAGACAGCTAGTGCTCCGATTCCATTAAGCTGGAACGTGTTTTTTTTGTTTTGTTTTGTTTTTTGTTTGTTTGTTTTTTAGCACCAGCTGGATTCCAGGTTCTACCCCTATAAAGATAAAAGAGATAGAGTCCCTGCCTCAGAGAGCTCAATCTGAGAGGGAAAATTAGCTCAGGGTCATACAATTCTGAGTCTGAATCCTGGTTTTGCCCCTTATTAGCTGAGTGATCCTGGCAATCTTGTAACTGATCTGAGATTCCAAATGCCGTATACTATAAAACTGGTTTGTAAACAGCACCTCTTTCACAGAGTTGCTGTAAGACTAAATGAGCCTGGCTGGTGTGACTCGTGACTCAGTGGCCGAGCCAGAAGGCTCAATTCCAAGTCAGGGCACACGCCCAGGTTGCATGCTCAAACCCCAATGGGGAGCATGCAGGAGGCAGCCAATTAATGATTTTCTTTCATCACTGATATTTTTCCTCTCCCTTCCTCTCTGAAATCAATAAACAAATATATATATATTTTAAAGACTGAAAGAAAATATGTAAAATGTACAGTGTCTGTATTCAATAAGCAGTAATCCTTACTATTGGGAAGCATCCTTGGAAATGAAGTTTGATGAGAGAGGAAACAGGCATGTGGCATGGGGAGTAGGAGAGATTAACAGCTCTGGAGAGTGGCAGGAACATGTTCAGGATTTAAAAAGTGAATGGGGCGGGGAGGAGGTGGGATTGGCCAGTAGGTTCAGTGGTTAGTGTCAACTCTTGCACTGATAGGTCATGGGTTTGATTCCCAGTCAAGGGCACATACCAGGGTTGCAGGTCCAATGCCCAGTTCTGTCAGGGCACATTTAGGAGGCAACTGATCAACGTTTCTCTCACATCGGCATTCCTCTCTCACCTCCCTTCCTCCTCCCTCCCTTTCCTCCCACTCTCTCTAAAAATCAACGAGAGGCCTTAACTGGCCTGGTTCAGTAGATAGAGCATCTGCTTTCAGACTAAAGGGTCTGGGGTTCAATTCTAGTCAAGGGCAGGCTCCTTGGTTGCAGGCTCCAGCTGGGCCTTGGCTCTGGTCAGGGCTCATGCAGGAGGCAACCAATTGATGTGTTTCTCTCACATGGATGTTTCTCTCAGTCTTTCCTCTCTCTTCTACTCTCCCTGAGGATCAATGAAAGAATATCCTCGCCGAAATCGGTTTGGCTCAGTGGATAGAGCGTCAGTCTGTGGACCAAAAGGTCCCAGGTTCTATTCGGGTCAAGGGCAAGGGCATGTATATTGGCTGCGGGCACATCCCCAGTAGGTGGTGTTCAGGAGGCAGCTGGTCGATGTTTCTAGCACTCTATCCCTCTCTCTTCCTCTCTGTAAAAAAAATCAATAAAAAAAATATATATATATATATATATATATATATATATATATATATATTTTTTTTTTTTTTTTTTTTTTTTTTTTTTAAAGAATATCCTCGGGTGACGATTAACAAAATCAATGGGGGGTAGGCAGGGAATAATCCCTGGGGTAAAGATTAACAAAATCAATGGGTGGAAAATATCCTCGGGTGAGGATTAACAAAATCAATGGAGGAAAAAATATCCTTGGGTGAGGATTAACAACAACAACAACAAAAAAGGTGAGTGGAGGGAATTTATCAGGCCGAGGGTGTAGAGGTAAATTCCAGGCTGAAAGAACTGAGTCAGCAAAAGCCTGGAGACCTGGCACATCAGGGAGAACGAGCAGCTGGAGGGGCAGATGTGGCCACACCAGAGGCAGGGGAAGGGGTGAGGGCCCTGTGGCAGCTAAGATTCACAGAAACCACAAGTAGGGCTCCAAGCAGGTGTGGCTGGGAGAGGGTAAGAACGGGAGCAGCAGGAAAGGGAAGAGATTCTGTCTGACAGAAAATTAAGGAAGTGGGAAGGGAGGAAGGGGAATGACCTTAGGTCTCTTAGGAGGGGATGAGCTGGAAATGGACTCTGGGGGCCTCTGTAGGTTGAGTTGGCGAGCAGCACTGGGCCTGTACCCCGGCTCCCACCTGATATTGTCGATCCAGCAGTCGATGATCACGGGCAGCAGCAGCTCGAGGTTCAGCCAGAGGGTGAAGTAGCTGTCTGTCTTCTTGGAGCAGAGGTAGTGCACGACCTTCGGCTTGTCCAGCTTTGCCTCCAGCTGGTTGCCCAAATCACCAGGCACTGTAAGAGGGGCACAGAACATGCATGAAGCCCTGAGCATGACGGACCGGAGACCCCTCAAGGCCTGACTCCAAAGGCCTCTAGCGTCCTAGGCAGGGCTTTGTCCACTCTGACTGGATTGAGAAAGGACAGAGCACAGTGCCACCGAACCAGCCCAAAGAGAAAGCGCTCCAAGGCAGGTTGAAAGAAGCTCACATTGCAGGAACCGGTTTGGCTCAATGGATGGAGCGTCGAACTGCAAACTGAAGGGTCCCAGGTTCGATTCCGGTCAAGGGCATGTGCCTTGGTTGGGGGAACATCCCCAGTGGGGGGGGTGCGGGAGGCAGCTGATTGATGTTTCTCTCTCATCAATGTTTCTAACTCTCTCCCTCTCTGATTGATGTTTCTAGCTCTCTATCCCTACCCCTTCCTCTCTGTAAAAAATCAATAAAATGCATTTAAAAAAAAGAAAATTAAGAAGCTCACATTGGCACCTGCTGACCTACAGAGGCCCCAGGCTTTGCTAAAGGCCAGAGTCCGGAAGGTTCCAAAGGACAAACCACAGAGCAGCTGGGCACTCACGGACCAGGCGCTGGAGCTGGCTACCCTGAAACAACACACCGTTCTGGTCACAGCTGGTGTGGGACAGGGAGACTAGGCCTAAAGGATCACTTCTCTACCTGAACACCTATCCCCATTGCTTCACTGCCAACGTTCAAGGCTTTTATTTTTATGTTTTTAATCCTCACATGTTTATTGATGAGAGAGAGAGAGAGAGAGAGAGAGAGAGAGAGAGAGAGAGAGAGAGAGAGGGAGAGAGAGAGAAACACCGATGATTGCCTCCTGTTTTCCTGTTTGCATGCTGACTGGGGATTGACCCTGCAACCTAGGTATGTTCCCTGACCAGGAATTGAACCCACAATCTTTTGGTGCATGGGACAACGCTCCAACCAACTAAGCCACCCAACCAAGGCAGCATGCAAGGCCTTCTAGAGCTTATTTACTCCCAGTGACCTTTCAGGCCTCACCTGCTCCCGCATGCCAGGCTCTCAGCACCTCCCACATTCACCCCATTTAAGATCCATAATCACTAACTGAACAACCAGCGCCTGGCTCTCCTTGGCATTCACTGGGCTTGGACTGTGAACCCAGCCCCGCTAAGGGCATGCCCTCCCTGTGCCCCATCTCACAACGCCCCGGGGGCAGCAGCTGCCTTCACCTCCTTTCCTGCTGTGGGTGCAGAAGTGGGGAGTCCCTAGCACGCAGGCTCTGGGTGACACGCCTGTGGACTGGGCAGGGGAACACAGAGACCTTGGTCATTATCTCTGCCGAAGGAAACGGCTGCAAGAGGAAGCCACCAGTTCTGCTTTGTCTGGCAATGCCTCTCACACTGGACAGGGCCGCGTGGCCCCTAAAAATAGCAGTGGTCACTTCCTCAGACCTTGTGCCTAGAACTGGGACGAAAGCCATCCATGTGCCTTTCACCTCCAATGACCCTGGGAGAGAACATCGTTGTTATGCCCACTTTACAGATGAGGAGACTGAGTCTGGGAGAGGTTAGAAACAGCTTGCTATACAGTCCCTTCAGGGTCTTCTTCTGTGTCACTTCTCTGACCTCTGCTTCCTCTTCTAGCCATCTGAGTCCCACCCATAGAGTCTGGTCATCCCTGGGTTACTGATCTGGGACCAGGAACTGCCAGCCACGGGGTTTCCTAGGATTAATACCAACTGCCTCACCCTCTGGGCAGGTTAACATTGCTCTGTGACTCTGCTCTGGCCTCGGATAACGGAGAACTGAATGACTTAATGAGTTAGCACCCATCCAGGATTTTCTCCGCAGTTCTTTCACGGACCACACACTTCCCAATGCCACACCCTTTTACTCAGAACTCCTCAGACCCACACATGACTGCCTGTGGGCCCCCAGGATAAAGTTCAGATGACCTAGCCAGTCATGAGCCTGGACAATCCACTCCCCTCTACCTCCTCCCTCTCTCCCCCCTTGTCATCACCCACCAAACCACTCCATGGCAGACAGCCTGGACTCCCTCCCTCCTTCCTTCTGATCGGTAGTTCCCCGTGCCTGGAACTCTCCTGGCCACAGCTCCAGCTGCATCCTCCAGGAAGCCTGCCCTGCCTGGGCCAGGGCATTCTCTGTGCTTGCCCGGCACAGACCTCATCTCTGGGAATCATCCGGGAAGCTGAAGGAAGGCAGAACCAAGGGTGCCCAATGCCCATGTCTAACCTGCATCCCCCTGAAGCATTTCATGGCTCAGAGCTCCTGGTTTAGGGACACCGTAGGACCAAACTGCCTGCCAATCTTACCCATCTGTCATCTGTATCACCCCCATTAAAATACTCCCGGCAAAAAAGGCATGGGGATCATGCAGACTCTGTGTAACATATACCTCTGCCTCCGGAGCCCTGGCTGGTCACCTCCACACTAGCTCCAGGTGTAGACAGTCTGCACGAGGCATCTGAGGCACCCAAGACTAAAGTCTCACCCCGGCCCACCACCCACCGCAAGGAAACACTGCTGTGCCTCCCGTACAGCTTCTCAGGGGTCAGGACCAAGAAGGGGGTAAGCAAGCAGGAGAGGTCACCCGGCCCCAACATCAGTCTGAAAGGATGAGTCCAGGCTCCTGACATCTGTTCAGAGCCACCGCCCCCCCTCTCACCTCTCTCAGCCTTTAGCCAGCCTCAGATTGCCTAGGGCCTCCGCCCTCAAGCCCAATGCCACCCATTTGATAAGTTTGGGAGGAGCCCTGGTGACGGCTAAGACAGTAATCCTTTCCCCCAACGAGCTTCCTTTCAGCAATGCCTTCTGACATGTAAGGGGCTGAAAAGGTCGAGGGAGACAGCCTACTAGGCAAGCCTAAGTCAACACTAAGGCTCCCGGGGGCCAACTCTGGGGCCACCTTACCCCCAAACTGGCCCTCGGGAGTGGGGCCAAATGGCCTCAGTCTTTCCAGCATAAATTAATAAACAAACAAACAAATAAATAAATAAAAAATGGGGATAAGTCACACAACCCCTTCAAAACTACAACTAAAAGACAAAACGGGATGGGGAGGGGGGGAATGGGGATAAGACAAGCCCAGGTTTGGGGCTGCCGCGAAGAACACTACTTACCCCATATGCTACAGGAGAAGGTGACAGAGAGGCTGACCACACCCGCGGCCAGTATGGCAGGGGGTGGACGGACCGACCCCAATGACAAGTCACACGTCCCCCTACCTCGCGCTTGCAGCACAAGCAAACCGGGGAGCCAGACCCCCCCTCACCCCCATACCCGGTCCAGCGAACAGACCCCCTGCCAGGTTCGTGCCTCACCCAGGACCACCGGAGGGGGGCGTCCGGCCGGAAGCGCCGGGTCCGCGAGCATCAGGAGGAGCAGGAGGCCGCCGGGGAGCAGGGCCGCGCGGCGCGGGCACAGGCGCGGGCCCATGGCGGGCGCGGGGCGGACCGGGTCCCGGTGGGCGCGGGGTCGGAGCTCCTGGCCTGCGCCTGGGCCGGGCGCGGCCGCGACGCGCTTAACCCCGCCGCCCACCGCCTCCCCGGCGGCCCGGCCAATCAGAGCCCAGCTCCCCGCAAACGGCCAGCCAATAGGGACGCGCCTCCACCAGGGTGTCCCGCCCCCTTTGGCACCGCCCTCCGGGCTCTCGCGGGTCGCGGACTTGCTCCCTTGACAGCGCTGCGAGCCGAGCGCATCGATCTGCTCAGGCTCAGCGCTGGCTGCCACCCTCTCGCCAGCTGCTGGGGACCCAGCCCAGCACCCCCACTTCCCCACCCCGTTCTCCAATTTTTTAATTTTTATTTTTTAAAATATATTTTATTGTATTTTTACACAGAGGAAGAGAGAGGGACAGAGAGTTAGAAACATCGATGAGAGAGAATCATTGACCAGCTGCCTCCTGCACACGCCCTACTGGGGATGTGCCCGCAACCAAGGTACATGCCCTTGACCAGAACCGAACCCGGGACCTCTCAGCCCGCAGGCCCACGCTCTATCGGTCCCATTCTCCAAGTTTATGCTGCGCAGCCCTCACCCTAGGCGCTTGCCTGACCTGGAATCTGGGACGATTCTGGCTGAGTGGCGATTCATGGTCCAGTGATCGCGGCCGCTGAGCGACTCCGGTCACGGTCACGGCCAAGGGGGAGAAAAGTAACTCCTAGACAGTTTGGCAGCCTTAGGGGGTCAGAGTTGACCGGGAGACCTTTGCACGACCTCCACCTCTCCCCCTCCCTCCCCCCAGGTTCCTCACACCATGCCCAGAGAATGTCTGAGTGGTTCAGGCAGCCCTTTGCCGTCCGCCCTGGGAATTGGATGGGAAGGGGAGAGGCCAAGTCAGCACGTTTCCTTTCTGAATGAGATGTATGTCCTCCCTTTTTTAGGGGCGCGGAGTATATCACCCTAACACATGGAGCAGTTCGCGGGGGTGGAGGCAGGGTTGAGTGTGGGCTTGAGCCCTGACCCTGCACCACGGCTCATCCACAGTATGGGACCTCCCAGCACAGCAAACGTGGAGGACAGGAGAGAAGGACACAGACTCCCTGCAGGAGGAATGGGGGCGAACAGAGTGGGCAAAGACTGGCCAGGCGGTGGTATACCAGAACCCTGCGTTTCTCTGGGAGAGAGTGGCCAAGTGTTGGAGGTTGGAGGCCTGGATCCTCCTCACATTCCCGCCTAAGGGCCGGTCACACCCTGATCAGCAATCTCAACAACTTTATACCTTCCCTCCCTTCCTCCTTCTTCCTTCCTTCCTCTTGGTCTCTAGCTAACGCTTTCCACTCTCTCCCTGTGCCCCTCAATGAATCTACACGCCATCTTGGCCTGTCTCTCCTATTTTCTTTTTTTAAATATATTTTTATTAATTTTTTTTTTTTTTTACAGAGAAGAAGAGAGTTAGAAACATCAATGAGAGAGAATCATTGATCAGTTGCCTCTTGCACACCCCTTACTGGGGATGTGCCCGCAACCAAGGTACATGCCCTTAACCGGAATCAAACCCCGGGACCCTGGAATCCGCAGGCCAATGCTCTATCCACTGAGCCAAACCAGTTTCAGCTATTTTCTTATAGTGAAATACATTGGCCCTCCTTTAAGGTCCAACTATCTCCCACTTCAGGCCCTAGCCTGGGGCCTCTCCCCACCTCACCCCCCATTAAAAAAAAAAAACACCCCTGTCTCCCTCACCTCCATCCCAGACCTCAGTAGAAGAGTCCCTGAAAACAAAAACAAAAACAAAAACAAAAAAAACATATCCTCGGGTGAGGACAAAAATGATAATATGTAATAAATATATGTGTCTGTATATATAAAGTCACTGAAAGACTAGGCCCTTCACCTGTCCTATTACCGTCCCCTCCTGCACTACTAGTTACCACCAGCACAGTCCCTGGCATACAGCAGGTGCTTAACATATGTTGAATGAATGAGACCACCCCCTCCCTTCTCTACAACATTTCAAAGGAGAGTAGTGCCCTGGTGCCTGTCAGACCTGGAAAAGGGGCAACCCAATCAAGACCAGGGCTTCTGGGCTGGTTTGGCAGCTGGAACTGAGCCCATGTGGAGGTCAACGCACCTTCCTAAGGCTCCTGGCTCAGCAGGCTCCCTGGAGTCACGAGAGGCCAAAGACGGACCGATCATGACAGAACTCTGAGGGAACTGGCCTGGGCATCAAGGAAGACTGCCTGGAGCGAGAATTAGAGATGGGTCTTGAAGAACAGTAGAAGTTTGTCAAGAAAAAGAGCGCTCCAGCAGGGAGCATAGAAGGACAACAGCCTTGAGACTTGAACAATCACAGCAGTGTGTCTGGAGCACATGGTGGGTGAGAGTGGAAGGAACTGAGGTTGTACTGAAAACCAAGCTTGCCGAAACCGGTTTGGCTCAGTGGATAGAGCGAACTCAAGGGTCCCAGGTTCGATTCCGGTCAAGGGCATGTACCTTGGTTGCGGGCACATCCCCACTAGGGAGTGTGCAGGAGGCAGCTGTTCTATGTTTTTCTCATTGGTGTTTCTAACTCTCTATCCCTCTCCCGCTCTGTAAAAAAAAATCAATAAAATATGTTAAATAAAAAAAATAAGAAGCTTAAAAACTTGGGAGGGGGTGGGAGACAAAAAAAGAAAAAGAAGTGCCGAAACCGGTTTGGCTCAGTGGATAGAGCGTCGGTCTGCGGACTGAAAGGTCCCAGGTTCGATTCCGGTCAGGGGCATGTACCTTGGTTGCGGGCACATCCCCAGTGGGTGTGTGTGCAAGAGGCAGCTGGTCGGTGTTTCTCTCTCATCGACGTTTCTAGCTCTCTAGCTCTCTCCCTTCCTCTCTGTAAAAAATCAATAAAAATATATTAAAAAAAAAAAAAGAAAAAAAAAAGAAAGAAAAAGAAGAAACGTGGCCTTTGTCCAGGGAGCCAGGAGCTTCGAAGATTCTCAGCCTGAGAGCGGCGGCTTGGGGTGAGAGGGGGCGGGGAGTCAAGGGCCTTCCCCTTTCACCTCAAGTACAACCTTCCAGGGCTGCTCTTCCTCAAGGATCAGGCGGCAGGGTCAGTGCGCCCCCTGGTGGGCACTCGGCGGGGAACCGGCAAAGGGGCGGGATGGGAACTCCGGGGAGCCCCGCTCTGCAGGCGGAGAGATAAGGAAGGTGGCCTGGTGCAGCTGGGATGAGCCTGGGACAGCCAGTGTGGGTCGCCGCGGGGGACACCGGCTGGCACCCAGCCTGGAATCCTCTCTCACTGCAGGGCATTTTCTGGCCAGGGAGGAGGTTTTTACACCGCGCCTACTAGACTCCCTAGAGATAGGTCCACGAGACCCGCCACACTGCCCGTCCCAGGCGACGATCCTCACCCTGGTATCTGCCCGGATGAGTGGGCAGGACTTGCCCTTCGGGTCCTGCCACGAAGTGAGGGGAAGAAGCAAGGATGGGATTCCTAGAGAGAGGCTAGGCTGGAGAGGCCAAGCTCCTCTTTGCCAAATACCTGGAGTACGATTTGGAAAAGGCATCTGGCAGGATCGCTGGAGCCTCACTCACCCCTCTCCACACACCTACTATCTCCGATTCATTCATTCATAATTTGTAAATCCTAGTGGGAGTGAAGTAAGTGGGAGACTTATCAGTGAAATACAGATATTTCAAACTACTGTGGGGATCTCTGCTTCAGAGGGAGGCGCCTTGAGGGGGAAATCTGGAGGAAGAGCACCGTTAAGCAGGTCAAGGGCGAGTTGTTAGGGAAGTGAAGACAGCAGAAGAGACTAGTTGAAAGACTCTGTGGCCCAGGGAAGGTGACCATCGCTGGAGGCAGACTAAGCAAGCCGGCCATTCATTCATCAGGTCTTCAGCAACTACGATGCTCCCTAAGTATTGGTTCCAGGACCTCACTCCTCCTAATGCTCCCATACCAACATTATCCTGATGCTCAGATATGTATAATGGTGTAGTGGCCCTGGCCAGTGTGGCTCAGTTGGTTAAGCATCACCCTGTGCATTGAAAAAGCACTGATTCAGTTCCAGTCAGGGCACATACCTTGCTTGTGGATCAATCCCTGGTTGGGGCACCTACAGGAGGCAACAGATCAGATCAATGTTTCTTTCTCACATCAATGTTTCTCTCTCTTCAAAGAGCCCTTCTTCTCTCTCTAAAGTCAGTAAGAACATTAAAAAGGAAAAAAAGTGCCGAAACCGGTTTGGCTCAATGGATAGAGCGTCGGCTTGGGGACTGAAAGGTCCCGGGTTCGATTCCGGTCAAGGGCATGTACCTTGGTTGCGGGCATATCCCCAGTAGGGGGTGTGCAAGAGGCAGCTGATCGATGATTCTCTCTCATCGATGTTTCTAATTCTGTCTCTCTCCCTTCCTCTCTGTACAAAATCAATAAAATATATTTTTAAAAAAAAGTGAACTGGTGTAGTATTTGCCTATAACCTAGGCATGTCCTGACCTGCACTTAAAAAACAGACACACAAAACTTTTTTTTTTTTATCCTCACTCCACCCAGGATGTATGTATGTATTGGGATATCTTTTCATTGACTTTTAGAGAGAATGGAAGGAAGGAGAGACAGAGAGAGAAACATCGATGTGAGAAACATCAAACATTGCACTCTCACAAACACCAATAGGTTTGCCTCCTGCACGCCCCTGACTGGGGATCAAACCTAAAACCCGGTTATGTGCCCTGACCCAGTCGAACCCTCAGTCTTTTGGTTTGTGAGATGATACTTCCATCCGACTGAGCCACCTGACCTAGGCTTTAAATTACCTCTAGATTACTTATACAGGGTATCTCAAAACGATATCTACACACTTTGAATAATTATAAAGGTAGTGATTACTAAAATACATTTCATTTTCAAAATGTAATGAGCCCTAACCGGTTTGGCTCAGAGGATAGAACATCGGCCTGTGGACTCAAGGGTCCCAGGTTCAATTCCTGTCAAAGGCATGTACCTTGGTTACAGGCACATGCCCAGCAGGGAGTGTGCAGGAGGGAGCTGATTGATGTTTCTTTCTCATCAATGTTTCTAACTCTCTATCCCTCTCCCTTCCTTTCTGTTAAAAAAAAAAAATCAATAAAATATATTTTTTTAAAAAGTAATGAAATCTACAGGTATTGTGTGTATATTTTTGGGGACAACTTGTATAAGGTAAATGATATGTAAATAATTTTTATACTGCATTTTTAGGGAGCAACTTTCTGGAATTTAAAGATATATATATATAATTGCATATAAACCTAACCAGTGG